GCCGGGCGTGGACATCTTCGGGCAGGTGTACAACCAGTGGAAGAACAAGGAGTGTGTGTGCCCCAACTGCAGCCGCAGCATCGCCGCCTCGCGCTTCGCCCCGCACCTGGAGAAGTGCCTGGGCATGGGCCGCAACAGCAGCCGCATCGCCAACCGCAGGTGGGGCTGCAGCTCCCGGGAAACCCCGGCACCGGGGCCTGGCTGTGGGGGCCTCACCCTGGGGTGCTGGGGGTTCCAGCTCTGGGGAGCCTGGGATGGGAATTTGGCCAAGTCTGGGTCTCCCCGGTCCTCGCTTTCCGTCCTGGGGGTGTCCGGCTTGGTTCCTTCTGGAGCTCCTCTTGTTCTTCCCTGCCCCTGGAGCTCCTCTTGTTCCTTCCTGACAGTTTATCCCTCCTGGGAAAAGGAGCTGGGAACCCTGGCTCCTGTGTGTCCCCTCCTGGGTCCTGTGTGTCCCCTCCTGGGTCCTGTGTGTCCCCTCCTGGGTCCTGTGTCCCCCTGAGTCCTTTGTCCCCCCTGCCTTGGTGACTGCTGGGGACTCCTGTCTGGATCCTGGGTGGCACGGGAGGATGGGAGGGTACCAGAGGACATGGGATGGATGCTGGGGCTCCGTGGAGGACGTGGGGCAGACCCCAGCCATGATCTCCGTCCCCTCCCCGCTCAGGATCGCGAGCAGCAACAACCTGAACAAGTCAGAGAGTGACCAGGAGGACAACGATGACATCAATGACAATGATTGGTCCTATGGCTCTGAGAAGAAAGGTGGGGAGGGATCCTTGGTGTCCTGAGGGCTGGGGGACATGTCCTGCCTGCCCCATGGCCCCTGAACCCCAGTCCTGGGTGGGTGTGTAGGGGGAGAGCAGCCACGGGTGGTGGTCCCAGCCCTGGGGAGGCAGCAGTGGCTCTGGGCTTGGGGCTGCATGCCCTGGAAAAGGTCAAATCTTTCCTTTCTGTCTCTCCCCACAGCAAAGAAGAGGAAGTCGGATAAGGTGAGGGGTGCAGGGAAGGGTGGGGGGCGCGGGGAGGACACAGGACACCCCCAACACCCCCTTCTTGTTGCAGAACCCCAACTCGCCCCGCAGGTCCAAGTCCCTGAAACACAAAAATGGTGAGGGGGCGGGGCTAAAAATGGAGGCGGGGATCACACCTTTGGGGTGGGGCTAAAAACGGGGAAGGGGGCTCACACCTTTGGGGCAGAGCTTGCATGGGCTGGGCACGTGTAGGGGTGGGGCGTTTGGGGTGGGTGGGGCTCGTGGGGAGGCGGGGCTCTCCCTGGCTGGGGTGGTGGCGGTGGGAGGGGGCCCTGGGGGTCCCAGGCAGGGCCAGGCTGGGGGCAGGACCCCCCCCCCCCCTCACCTTTCCTCCCTCCCAGGCGAGATCGGCGGGAACCCCGATCCCTTCAAGGTGAGCCTGGCATGGGGGGCGATGGCTGCCAGTCCCTGCTCTGCCTCCCCAGGGGCCGTGGTGCCCCCCAGGAGGGTTCCCCAGGCCTGAGCCTGCTCTCTGCCCCCCCAGTACAGCAACTCAGCTGGCATCAACTACGAGACGCTGGGCCCCGAGGAGCTGCGGACGCTGCTCACCACGGTGAGGGCATGGGGCAGGGGGGCTCCCAGCTGGACAGGGGGGGCCCCTCCCAGCTGGACACAGGGGCACCACAGGGGATGGACCCTGGGGATCTCTCCCAGCTGGGCTCCATCCCACTGGGGCTGGGTTCCAGGCTGGGAATGGGGATGTGCAGCAGGTCCTGATTGTGGGGTGGTGGCTACTTTGTCCGGGACTCAGCACTGGGAGCCTGTGGTGGTGCAGCACAGCCCTGGGGTCACTCCCCTGTCCCCCCAAACTCACCCTGAACTCACCTGTCCCTTCCCTCCCCAGCAATGCGGGGTCATCTCCGAACACACCAAGAAGATGTGCACCAGGTGAGGGCGGCCTGGCCTGGCCCTGCTCACTCTGGGGGCTTCCCTCGGGTCCCCAACATCCCATGGGAGGGGGGAAGGCCCATCTCAGTGCCGTGTCTCCCCCCAGGTCCCTGCGGTGTCCCCAGCACACGGATGAGCAGCGCAGGGCAGTCCGGGTTTACCTCCTTGGGCCCTCCGCGTAAGTGGCTGCACATTGGGGTCCCCAAGGTCCTGGGGTCGCTGTGGAACAGGGACTGGGGGGGCTGCACGGGGTGCTCAGGTGGGGCTGGGGACAGGGACAGCCCTGGGGAGGCCTGCAGGGGATGGGAGCCCAGGGCTGGGGTTGGGATCTGCAGCCCAGCAGGGTGGTGAGGGCTGGGCTGAGCCCCTGGGCATCCCCCTGGCATTGGGGGGCTCTGTACCCACCTGCCCTGTGTAACACCTGTGCCCAGGTCCCTCCCCTTGGCATTGGGGGGCTCTGTCCCCACCTGCCCTGTGTAACACCTGTGCCCAGGTCCCTCCCCCTGGCATTGGGGGGCTCTGTCCCCACCTGCCCTGTGTAACACCTGTGCCCAGGTCCCTGCCCGAGGCCGAGGGCGGCGTGGAGAACGACAGCTTCGAGGTGGCCGAGAGCCAAGCCCTGATGAGCCGCCTGCAGTGGGACGGCTCCTCCGACATCTCCCCCTCTGACTCAGCCTCCTCCAAAGCCAGTGAGTGTTCAGGGGCTGGGGGGCAAATCCTGGGGCCTAGACCCCTCTGAGGGGCAAATCCTGGGGCACAGACCCCTCTGAGGGGCAAATCCTGGGGCACAGATCCCTCTGAGGGGGCAAACCCGGCTGTTCTGGCATGTCCCCAGTGCAAGAGGAGTTGAACAAACCATGGCTCCAAAGCCTGGAGCACCATGTCCTCCACTTGGGAGAGGCAGGAACATTTTGGGGTACATTTTCTTGACCAGAGTTGGGCATCATCCCCTCTGTTTTGGGGCTCATCTCCTCCCTGACACCCCCATTTCTTCCCTTTCTCCCCTCCCTAGGTACAAACAACTCCGAGTCCCGCAAGACCAAGAAGAAGAAGCCGCACCTGGGGCTGGTGAGCGGCGCCCCAGGGCTCGGCTCCAGCAAGAAGAAGAAGCCCAAGCCCCCCGCCCCCCACACCCCCAGCATCTACGACGACATCAACAACTGAGCCCCGCCGAGCTGGGGAGGGGCAGGACAGACAGAGGGACAGACAGGGGCCAGGACAAGCCCCCAGGCACCCCCCGGGCCAGACACAACGTGGGTACCAGGGCACAGAGGACTCAGCTGTTGCTGGAGTGGGGCTGGATTTGGGGAGCCCCCGTTAGTGCCCCCCTTCCTCCCCCCTGCCCCGGTGCCTCTATTTATTCTGTGACAGTTTTTGTACCTGGGGCTCCTGTCGGGGGTCACCCTCTGACATGGGGGTACAGCCCCCCCTTCCCTCCCAGCACCCCCAAAGCCAGCTGTGCCCCCCCCACACCCGCTCCTCACTTACCCCAGTGGGGTGGGGGGCACCTGGACACCCTGGGCAGGTCTGGGCCTGGGTCAGGGGGTGGTGAGTCCCCCCTGCCCTGGGGTTTTGGGGTGAGCCCCTGCCCTGGGCTGGCACTCGCCGGTCGGGCTGGCTCAGGAGGGGGGGTCACACTGGAGGGGGCCTTTCCCACTCAGAGGACAGGGGAGAGCACCCTGTCACCCCCAGATCTGTTCAGCTGTGCCTGCATTCAGCTGTTGGGGGTCTCGAGGGCCTGGCAGTGCCCACACAGGGGTTCACAGGGGCTGCATGCTGCATCCTTCATGTTTGGGGCTGTTCGGGGGTGGGTCTGGGGGTGGGGGGAGCTGCTGTGATCATCCCTGTGCCAACTGTTTGGGGAGGGGGGACCCCAGCCTGGCAGGGACGTCCGGGGTGGAGCTGGGAATGGAGCAGAACTGGGGGGGAAGCTCAGCCCAGCTTCAAGGCAGAGCCCCCCACTCCTGGTGTCCCCAGGGCAGCTCTGCGTGCCCTCCACACGTGCCTGGGGACCTGCTGCTGCACTCGGGGGGTCACTGGGGACCCCCACAACTCTGGCGGCTGTTTGCACCCCCACGGGCTCTGCTTTAGTTTGGGGGGGCCGGGACCAGCGCCCCGCTGTGCGGGCCGGGGGGGGACAGGTCCCTCTGGCTGGATCCAGCTCACCCCCTGCCCTTGATCCCTTCCCCGCAGTTTTCTCCATCCCAGGGGCTGTGCTGGGGACAGGGTTGGCTCCATCCCCTCTGCTGTCCCCCCCATGGCTGTCTGACCCCCCCATCTGGCCGTGTGTCCCCAGCGTGGGGCTCTGTCTGTCCCCCCAGCCCGGTGCCCTGGCTCCTCCTCTCGCTGGGACTCACACATTATGGTGCTCTGACTCTGGATTCACTATTTGTTTTCAAACTGCTGCTAAAGGCTGAGCTGGGGGGGCGGCGGGGGGGGGTTCCTGCAGAGCCCTGGGCACCTCAGAACGCTGCAGCCCCCCCTGCATGGGGACCCCCGTGTGCCCCCTCCTGGTGCAGCTGTGGGGCTGGGCAGGTCTGGCCACCGGGGCATGCCAAGCTGGCCTTTGCGTGCCCCAGGGCCCGAGCACGGGGCTGTGGGCACCCAAAAACACGGGGAACCACCCCAAACTGCCTGGGGAGGGGGGCACGGTGAGCTGGGGCTGTAGGGGGGAGGCAGCCTGAGCCCCTTTCCCTGCAGGAGAGAGGCACTGAAATTTGGGGTCCAAGGGGTGCAGTGGGGTTTGGGGGGCTCAGAGCATCCCCTGTGACCCCCCCAGGTCGGTGTCCTCACCCCCCCCTCCCCCGGTGTTTCTGCGTGTCCCCCCCGCAGGGGAACTGAGCCCTTGTGAGGTCTGTGTGTCCCGTGAGTGGGTTGTGGCTGCCCCTGTAAATAAAACTGCATCTTGACTTGGTATCCCTGGCATTAATTACAGCTCGTTAATTAAACAGGGCCTTTACGCCCCGAATCCATCTCCCCCGCACTCCATTCACCACGGGTGGGGCCGGATTTGTTTTTATAACCCCCCAGAAGTGTCGGTGGGTAGGAGAGAGCAGCCCCAGGGCAGGAAGACAACCACTGGGGTGACTTGACACCCTTTATTTGCATTAAAAAGTCCTTGGGAAGAAGCCACGGCCCGTTCCGGTGCTGTCCCGCTCCCCGGAGCTGGGGCCGGGGCCGGGCAGTGGGGTTTGAGGGGGGGGCACAGCCCCTTTTTGGGGGGTAAAGTCCTGCAGCAAGGCTGGGACCAACACGCGGAGCTGCCACCGTGCTGGCTCCGGTCACAGAGCGGGCACAGCGACACCGCGGTGCCTCCCCCGCTCCTTCCCCCTCACCCCGCCTGTCCGTACACCCCGAAGGCCAGGAAGGTGACCAGCACGGTGACACCGATCAGCGACACGGTGGCCGGGGCCGTGAAGAGCTGCCGGTAATTGATGCGGAAATACCAGCCCAGCGCCAGCACCACCATCACCGTGGGCACCATGAGCGTCCCCCCGCCCAGCGGCAGCGCCGGGGCCGCGGGGCCGGCGGGGCCGGGCTCGGGCAGGGCGGGGGTGGCCGCGCCGCTCCCCCGGGAGCGGTGGCAGTGGATGACACAGTTGTCGGTGATGCGGAGCGAGCGCAGCGTCCGTGCCTGGTCCTGCAGCAGCTGCCCGCGGTAGATGAGCTTCATCTGGCTCTCCTGGCCCGGGAAGTATTTGCTGCGGGACGAGGGAGGGTTGGAGGCGGCAGAGACGGGCTCAGGGACCCCCACCCGGGCTGGGAACCCCCCCAACATGGACCCAATCCGGGGTGGGAACCCCCGCACTGTGTAACGGGGAGGGGACAGCGATGGCACTGCCACCGCGCCACCGCCGCCTCTTTCAAACTCGCTGTTTTAAAGCCCACGGGGTATTTTTGGCACAACGGGAGGGATAAAAGCCCTCCCCCGGTCCGTGGGAGGGAGCTGCACACCCGGGCCTCACCTCTTGAGAATCCCCACGGTGTCCTCGGGCCGGGCCACCGCCACCTCCTCGGTGTCGTTGAGGAACTTGAGGCGGATCTTGATGAGGCCGGGGCACGCGTCCCCCGCCCCGGGGGCTCCGGGCTCGGCGTCCGGCAGCTGCTCCCGGCCGGGACCGGGGCCGTTCCCGCTGTCCGCCCGCGCCGCCGCCCCCCCTTCCTCCTCCGCTTTCTCCTCCGCGCTCTCGGGGCTCCCGGGGGGCTCCGGGGCCTCGGCCGCCCCCGCGGTTCCCGCGTAGGGCGGGAGGGGCCCGAGGCGGATGACGGCCGCGTCCCCGGTGCCCAGGAGCTGCCCGCTGCCCTCGGCCACGTACGTGGACAGCCAGGCCAGCACCAGAGCCAGCGCCAGCACGGCCACCCCGGCCACCAGCGTCACCTCGTCCCCCACCCCTGGGATGAGCGGGGCGGCCGGGGGCTCCATCTCCGCGACCCCCGTCTGCACCGAGCGGTGCCCGGTGTGACCGAGCGGGGCGGCCCCGGTGCCGCCTCCGGGCTCAGAACAGACCCCGGGGCTGCTCCCGGTGCCCGGAGACCGCAGGGACGGGAGCTCCTCGCTGCGGGTTTTCCTCCTCGCTCCCGAGACGCCGAAGCGGCAGCGCTGCGCTCACCTCACCGGGCCCGGCGGAGGGTCCCGGGGGTCCCGGGGGCTCCCGCAGCCCCTCGGTGCCCAGCGGAGCAGGGTCAGGCCATCCCCGACCTGGACGGAGCAGAGCGATGCGGTCAGCGGGGCCCGGGCACGGCGGGGCGAGAGGAACCGGGGATGTCCCTGCCCGTCCCCGGGGGTCCCGGTGTGTCCCTACCGGTCCCCGTCTATCCCGGGGGTGCCGGTGGGTCCCTGCCATTCCCGGCCATCCGGGAAGTGCCGGTGTGTCCCTGTCGGTCCCGGGGTGTCCCCGCCATCCCCGGGGGTCCCGGTGCCCCCCCCCACTCACCACCTCCCGCCGCCGCCGCCCGCGCCGGAAGCGCCACGTCACAGCGCGCCGCCGCTAGGGGGCGGGACGGGGCCGCGGGCGCGCGGGGCTACGTCACGGCCGCGCCCAGTGGGCGTGGCCAAAGGGAGTGGAGGAGCTAATAGGACGCGCCCCGAAAGTGGGCGGGGCTGTGAGTGGGGGGGACTGTGAAGAGAGGCGGGGTCTGTTGGGGGCGGAGTCACGGCCGCAGCGGGGCGGGGCCTCGGGAGAACCGTGGGAACCCCCGGGCTGAACCCCCCCCGCCCGCCACGGGGCCTTACCGGGACCGGACCCCCCGGCCGCGCTGTCACCCCCTCCACGGTCCCCGCATCCGCCAGGGTCTGTCTGTCCCCTCCCTGCCACCTCTGACCATTGGCTCTGTCCCCCCTCATCCCCTGACCCCCTCATCCCCTGTCCCCCTATTCCCGTTCCCCCTCATCCCCTGTCCCCACAGTCCCCTGTCCCCATAGCAGCTGCCATTGCCCACCCTGGTCCCACACAGACAAAGACACCTCAAGGGCCACCTCTGCCATGTCCTTTATTGACACCAGGGCACGGAGGGGGGGGGACACAGCAAGGGGACCTGGAGGGGACACCAGTGAGGACACATGGAGTGCCCTCAGGAGATGAGACCCTCGATGGGCAGCTGGAGGTAGCGGCGCAGTGGGGGTGGCAGTGCCAGCCTGGGGACAGCGGCGCGGCAGCGGGCGCCCAGGTGACGCCGGATGGCCACACGTGCCAGGTGCTGCAGGCGTCGCGGCTGTCCCGCCATGCGCACGGCCGAGGCATAGAACTCCTGGTGCTCCTGCGGGGGGGACAGGGGCTCAGTGGGCTGGGCTGGGGACACGGGGACAGCCCAGGACCCCCCAGGACACCTCATTACCTCCCAGAGCTCGGGGGGCACGGCCTCCACCCAGCCGTCGGCGGGGGGCACGCGGTCGTAGGCGTTGAGCATCACCTCCAGCGCCGGCGGGTGCTGGCAGCACAGCCTGAGCATCTGCCAGCAGAACAGTGTCACCAGGGTGTGACACTGTCACTGCCACCTCCCCGCGCCCCCCGTCACCCCCTGCCCCACCTTGGGGTGCACAGCCTGAGCATCTGCCAGCAGAGCCGTGTCACCGGGGTGTGACCCCACCACCTCCCTGTGCCCCCTGTCACCCCCTGCCCCACCTTGGGGTGCGCGGGGAGGGCGCCGTGGTCCAGCAGCAGGGCCAGGGTCTCCTCGGGGCGCTGCTGGCGGTACTCGCGCACGGCGCGCAGGGCGCAGTCCATGGGGGTGTCCCCGGCGCCGTTGGGGACGGTGGCGTCGGCGCCGTGGCGCAGCAGCAGCCGGGCCATGGCGGGGTGCCCGTTGGCACAGGCGTTGTGCAGCGGCGTGTGGCCCTTGCGCCCCGCGGCCCCGGGCTCGGCGCCGGCCTCCAGCAGCCGCTCGGCCACGCGCAGGAAGCGCTCGGCGTCCTCGGGGCGCTCGGCCGCCGCCGCCGCCGCGTTCAGGGGGGTCTCGCCCTGGTGGGTGCGCAGGGAGGGGTCGGCGCCGTGGTGCAGGTACAGCTCCACGTGGGCCACCAGCCCCTGGCGCGCCGCCACGTGCAGGGCTGTCACCTGCCGGTCACGGGTGCCCAGGTTCACCTGCGCGCCGTGCGCCAGCAGCAGCTCCGCACACCTGGGGAAAGGGTGGAAAGGGTGAGGGGACACTCTGGCACCCATGGGACATGACCAGGACATGCCATGGTTCCCATGGGATATCCCTAGGGACAGCCTCAGGACATACTGGAGAGCCTGACTCCCAAGGGACACCCCCAGGGACACCCCAGGGACCCTCCCAGGACACCCCACAGGCCCCTGGCTCCCAGATTGTGTGGGTGGGGCAGGAGTGAGGATTTCATGGGCGGGGCCTCTCATGCAGATGAGCCCCACCCTGGCCGGGCCCCCCCCGCAGGTGAGGCCATACCTGAGGCTGTGGGGCGCGGTGCAGAGGTGCAGCGGGGCCGAGCCGTCGGCGCTCAGCACGTTGGGGTCGGCGCCGAAGGCCAGGAGCAGGCGGGCGCAGTTGGGGTGCGGGGCGGCCGCGCTGTCGTGCAGGGGGGCTCTGCCCCCCACCACAGCATCCACGGCCGCCCCCCGCAGCAGCAGGTGCCGGGCACAGTCCTCGTAGCCGCGGGCGGCGGCGATGCGCAGGGCGGAGGTGTGCTGGCGGCGGGGGCTCAGCACCCAGAGCCCTGCGGGAGTCAGCGGGGGCTGCCGGAGAGCAGCTGAACCCCCCTGACCTGCACCCACCCACCCAGAGCCCTGCGGGGGTCAGCGGGGGCTGCCGGAGAGCAGCTGGACCCCCCTGACCCGCACCCACCCACCCAGAGCCCTGCCGGAGGTGAGGGAGTAGGGGGGCACCGTGGGGCTGCCCCACACACCCACCCCACTCCTGACTCCTGCTCCCCCACGAACTGGCCCTGCTCCCCCCTGCCCACCTGGAGCTGCACCCCTTTCCTGGCCACACAGCTGCTTTTCAAGGGGAAGGGAGAAGGGAGAAGAAAGGGAGGCCCCCCCCCGTCCCTCTTTGCACCCGTACCCTGCTCCGGTGACCACACCAGCTCCTCGCTGACCGTCTCCAGCACCACATTGGCGGTGGCCTCGTCCTTGAAGATGCTCTGGACGCGGCGCAGGTCCCCGGCGTAGAGCGCGTTGTGCACGGCGGGGTCGCGGCAGAACTGGCGCCGCCGGGGGGGGCTCGGGGGCTGCCGGGGGGTCCCGGGCAGGAGGCGGCGCTCGGCCGAGCCCCGGGCCAGCGCCCGGCGCCGATCGTCCCGCTCCAGCAGCTCCCGCTGCAGCCGCAGCGAGCGCAGCGCCGAGGGGCTGAAGGCGAACGACTCGTGGGCCATGGGAGCCCCGGAGGGCAGGGGAGGCTCTGGGGACAGCGAGCGGCGCCCTGAGCCTCGGGGGAGGGGGGTTATAAATAGGGCTGTGCCCCACACACGGATGTGGAATCAAATCCCAGAGCCAGGGGTCCTATAAATAACTCCTGGCGGTAAACAGAGTCACGGGGTGCGGGAAAGTTTAACCTGTTGGTGGGTGTGGGGTGGGGATGTCCCATGGGGAGGGATATGGGGACCCCCCCTCAGTCCTGTGAGACCCTGGGGAACGGCTCCTCCCACCCAGGGAAGGGACAGAGGGGTGACATACGAGGACACAGTGATGCAGAAACAAAACAGCCCTTTAATGCAGGTTTGGGAGCGAGAGGGGCCCGTGTGCCCCAGGATTGGGGGCAGTGCTGAGGCCGCTTCCCCCCGGGCCTCCCCAGCTCTCGGCTCCACCACAAACACCCCGGACACGCAGAGGGAGGAGCAGGTGGGTGGGTGGCAGGTGTGTCACCACTCCTCGGCACTGTCACCCTCTGCTGGGCTCAGCCACAGTCGACCTGAGCTGGGGCTGAGAAGAAATCCTCAGGCAGCTCTCCCAGGAGCCCGTCCAGGTCATCTGCAGGGCACAGCAGGATGTGAGTTTTGTGGAATTGTGGAATTGTTCAGGTTGGGAACCTGCTTTCCACAGGACAGAGAGCTTTTCCTCCCCTCCCAGAGTGGGTCTGACTCACCCATGTCACATCCATCAGCTCCCACCGGCTCTTCCCAGCTGGGATCAGAGCTCGATGGGCACAGGGAGAAGCCCCCAGGATGCTGCTCTGCACTGTGTCCACTTGTCCTTGACTGTCCCCAGTGCTCAGGAGCAGGGACACCCTGGGTGGGCTCTGCACGGGGGTCTGGGGCCAGCTCAGCCTGGGCAGGGACCTGCAAAACCCAGTGGGGACGAATTATTGGGGGATTTATCCAGCCCTCCCCCTTCCTCTCGGGGGTCCCCATAGCCCAGACCCCCCTGGGGGTCCCAGCAGTGCCTCCCCCCTCACCTGCCGGGGGGAGCAGCCCTCGGGCTCAGGTGGGAAGATCCTCAGGAGGTTGGTGGGGGTCACGTTGAGGTAGTGGTTGCGGTGGGAGGGAGAGAAAACCCCGACCTGCAGAGAGGGCAGACAGAGGGGGGGCAGAGCCAGCTCCTGGATAAACCCCCCAAGTTACAGGGCCCCATTTATGGAAATCTTAGGATGAAGGGTGAAAATTTTAAGAAGAGTTGAGAAAAATCTGAGGTGCAAAACTGTGGGAGATCCTTTTCTTGTATTTGTATTTGCAGTGCCAGGGTGCTATGGAATGGGAACAGGGATGTACCACATGCACTGCTTCCTCTTATCCCCTTATCCTTATATTTACATTCCCAGTTCCAGGGTTTAACTGGGTTGGGAATGGGACAAGTGATGTGCTGTATCACCCCCCTGCATTCCCCTGGGATCAGACCCCACTGGGGTGGGATAAGGAGCCCCCCAGCTCTCCTCACCTGCCTCAGGAGCAGCACGGAGCCGGCCCGGAGCTCGCTCTGCCTCTGCTCCAGCAGCAGCCGGTGCACGGTGCCCTGCATCTCCCCTGGGAATGAGGATGGGGTCCCTGAGCCTCACTGGGCACAGGTAGCACTGGGCACAGCTACTGCTGCACTCACCTGTGGGGTCCCTGAGCCTCACTGGGCACAGGTAGCACCGGGCACAGGTACTGCTGCACTCACCTGTGGGGTCCCTGAGCCTCACTGGGCACAGGTAGCACTGGGCACAGGTACTGCTGCACTCACCTGTGGGGTCCCTGAGCCTCACTGGGCACAGGTAGCACCGGGCACAGCTACTGCTGCACTCACCTGTGGGGTCCCGGAACACGGCACCAGCACCAGCGCTGCTCCTGGTCAGGGCTTTGATCATCACAGCCATGCTGGGGACCTTGTTTTTTGGGAGCTGCTTCAGGGCTGCCTGCACAGCACAACGGGGATTTTGGGGTAACCTTGGGCAGGGCTGGGAGTTGAGCCCCGTGGGTCCCTTCCTGTGTGGGATATTTCAGGATTCTACAGCCCTTGTCACCCAGGGGATGTGGATGTCTGTGCTCAGCTCAGCCCCCCCTCCCCAGAGATTCCCAGCCCTACAAGCAGCTCTGAGGGGTGAGGGAAGAGCAGGAACCCTGGGTCAGCCTCACCTTGCGGAGCACCATGACCACACTGTAGGTGTGGAGGAAGCAGCTGGGGTCCCTCTCATCCAGCCCCAGCTCCGTTTTCATGGCCAGCCAGGGCCCCTTCCCGAAATCCTCCTCAGTGGGCAGCGGGGAGCTGGGCAGTGCCTGGGGTCAGGAACATCATGGTCACAGAGCCCCAGGGGCTCCCTCTCACCCAGCATCCCACTGGGGGATTCCCACTGGGGGATTCCCACTGGGATGTGCCCGAGCAGGGGTGGGAGGGAGGGGTTACCTGAGCCCGCGGCTTCGCCACGGCCCCGTGAGCAGGAGTCTGGGGAGCAGACACCAGGATCTCCTCCAGCAGCTTCCCAGAGTGCTTGTGGGACAGGGAGAGATGTCCAGGGATCTGCTTGGCTTCATCAGATGCTCCAATCCCATCCCAGCCCACATCCCATTCCTGTCCTGTCTCAACCCATTGCATTCCTGACTCCATCCCTATCCCATCCCTACCCTGGTTCCCATCTCCATCCCATCCCATCTCCATCCCATCTCAATTCTACTCCCATTCCTGTCCTATCCCAACCCATTGCATTCCTGACTCCATCCCTATCCCATCCCTATCCTGGTTCCCATGCTGTCCCCATCCCCATCCCATCTCCATCCCACCTCAATTCTACTCCCATTTCTGTCCTATCCCCAACCCATTGCATTCCTGACTCCATCCCTATCCCATCCCTACCCTGGTTCCCATGCTGTCCCCATCCCATCCCATCCCATCCCTACCCTGGTTCCCATCCCCATCCCATCCTATCCCATCCCATCCCATCCCAATTCTACTCCCATTTCTGTCCTATCCCAACCCACTGCATTCCTGTCCCCATCCCCATCCCATCCTCACCCCATTCCCCTGCTTTCCCCATGCCCACCCAACCCCACCCCATCCCTGCTCGGTCTTCCCCCACCCCGTGCCCACCCACCTGCTGGGGCAGGATCCCGGCAGGCCCTGGGAAGCGCCGGCTCTCCCTGCGCCCGGGGGCTCGGGGGGGTCCCCGGGGGGCTTTGCTGGCCGCTGTCACCAGCTGCACCAGGTGGTTGGTGACCACGGGGGCGCTGGGGGGGCCGGGAGCGTTGGGAGCCACTGGGGGGTTCAGGAAGCTGGGGGGGCCCGAGGGGGGTCTGGGGGGCAGCCGGGGCTGGGGGCAGCTCTGTGCTGGGGGGGTCCAGGGCACCGAGGAGCTGCTCCTTGCTAGGGGTGCTTGGACAGGCCTCAGGCACGGAGCCCCCGGAGCAGGGATGGAGCCTCCGGAGCTTCCCGGCTCTCCCATGGAAGGGGGGGGTCTGGGGGCGCAGGCACCGGCCGTGCTGGGCCGCAGCACCAGTTTGGGACTGGGGAGGGGGCCCTGCCTGTCCTGCAGCCCCCCGGAGCCGGGCACCAGCTCCTCTCCCACCCTGAGCTTTTTGGGGACCCCACATTCCTGAGCGTTCTCCTTCCCTGGGCATTTCCATGGCGGCTTCTCGCAGCGCCTGGGGGGCGCTGGGGCAGTGCCAGCCCCCACAGGCACCTCGGGACCCTCCAGCTCCCTGCAGGCAGCCAGGAAAAGGTCATTGTCCAGCTCATCCTGGGGGGCTGCACCCCGCGATGGGGGGCCCTGGAACCCCACGGGATGCTCGCCCTGCCCGGCGAGGGGCCGGAGGGTGGGGGCTTTACTGGGATGGGCTTTACTGGGATGGGCTTTACTGGGATGGGGTTCACTGGGAGGAACCGGGACGACGCTGGCTGAGGAATGCCCGAGGGTCACAAACTGGTTCTCTGCATCCTCCACAGCGGAGAGGAAATCCTGTGAAAATAAACAGCGGGAATTCAAACGGCTCCGTGCGTTCTCCAGACTCCCCCCGCAGGCTCAGCCCGGGCACAGCGCACCTCGCGGGGGGCCCAGGCCATTGGGGGTCCCTCACCTCGTCCTCCAGCTCCCCATCGGTCCCAAAAAGCTTCTGGAAGTGGCAGGACTGTGGGATAAAAGGGGAAGAACGGGGCTGGGAGGGACACACAGGCTGGGGGGCCCTGGGTGGTCCCGGAGGTTCCGCCGTGGTCTCTCGGGGCCCCGGAAGGGCCTCATATGGCCCCGAGGGGATCCCGGATCGGCCCCCGCCATCGCACGGGGGCCCGCAGGGATCCCTTTGTGAGGACCCTCCGTGGGGACCCCAGATCGCCCCCAGGGTACCCCAAAACCGGCTCCGTCCCCCCGGCCCCGTTACCATGGCAGCGCCGCGACCCCGGCCCGGCCCCGGAGGCGGAAGCGGCGGGGCCGGGACTCGAACCCGCGGCCCCCGGGGAAGGGGCGGAACTTCCCCTGCGGCACCGGGCGCCCCCTGGCGGCGGGCAGGAAGCGCGGCCGCGCCCTTTAAAGGGCCACGCACCCCCTTTCCCCGCGCGTGTCACATGTGCACACGCGTGTGCCCCCGCGTCACCCGGCCGGGCCCCGCGGCGCCGCCGGTGACTCAGCGCGGCCCCGGCCCGGCGTGATTCATCCCGCACGTCCCCGCGGCACGGGCTGAGTGACCCCCCCTCCCCACCCCACCCCGGACCTGCTACACCCGCACGCGTGCGTGGGCAAGGGCACAGGCGTGTGTGTGTGCGTGTGTGTGTGTGTCCTGCACACGCGCGTCTGAGTGTGTTCCGTGAGTGTGGCAGGCTGACGTGCAGCTGCACACAGAGCACCCGTTTGCCCTGCCTGGCCGGTGGCACATGCGTGTCTCCACATGCGTGTTCACGCTCTTGTGTGCAGCAGCGGTCGCACACCGAGCTCCTTGTGCGTGTGTGCGGCAGCACAGCGGCCCGTGGCACGTGTGTGTGTGCGCCAAGGCCTGTCACCTGTCACACACCTGTGCGCCCTTGCACGCTCACAGTCACTCGCATTCACGCGGAGCTGTTACACGCTCATTCACACACCGACACCGCCTCACGCTCACTCGCTGCGCGGCCCCTTTAAGGCCCGAATAGGCTCCGCCCCTCGTTAGGCACCGCCCCTTTAAGGGGGGAGGGGCTCCGCGCGCGCGGGGCTATTTTTAGCACCGGGCGCCGTCACGTGACGCGGAGTGACGTCACCGAATGTTGTTGTCGGGGCGGGCGGGGCCGCGCGGCGAAGATGGAGGAGGAGGCGGGGGGGCGGCGGGGCGCGCGCCGGGCGGCACCGGGGGGACCCCAGGTACGGGCGGCACCGGGGGGGCACCGGGGCGGCACCGGGGCGGCCGCATCGGGGCGGGGCCCCGCGCCGGGGGGGGGCTCCGCGGGATCCGGGACCCCCGCGCGGCTCCGGGGGGGCTCCGTGCGGCGGCGGGGGGGCTGCGATCCCGGAGGTCCGGTGCGGTTCGGAGCGGGGATTGGGGGTTCTGTGCAATGGGGGTGCGGTTCGGGGGGCGCGGGGGGCGCGGGGTGCGCGCCGTGCGGAGCGGGGGGGGCCGCATGGGGACCCCCGTGCGGGTTTGGGGGGGCTGCAGCGGGGGGAGCCCTGCGCGGGTCCGGGGCTGCAGCGGGGCCCGGGCGCAGCGCGGGAGGGGGGGCGGGGGGGTCCCGGTGTGCTCGGGGAGGGGCTCCGGTGGGGGGGCCCGCTGCGGGTCGGGGGGGGCTGCACCGGGGGTCCCGGTGCGATCCGGTGTGGGGGCTGCAGGAGGGGACCCCGGTGCGGGTGGGGGGCTCCTGTGCATTCCGGGGTCCCGGTGCGGCTCGAGGGGGGAGCGCGCCCGTGCAACGGGGGTGTCCTGCAGCCCGGAGAGCCCTCGTGCAGTTCGGGGGAGCCCCGCAGTTTCGGGGGTCCCGCTGCCATCGGGGGGTCCCGCTGCGGTTCGGCGGGGCCCTGCAATGAGCGGTCCCGGCGCGGCTCGGGGGGTGCGGTGCGGCTCGGGGGGTCGGTTCGGGTGGGGGTCCCGGTGCCATGGGCCGTGCACGGTGCAGCGGGGGGGGTCCCCGTGCGCTCGGGGGGCCCTGCGGGCTCGGGGCTCCCGCAGTGTCGGGGGGCCCGTGCGCCGGCACGGCGGCGGCTCCGCAGCGCGGCCGGGGGGGCCGGGGGGGCCCCGCTGCACCGCGCCGGGCTCGGCGCTGCCGGCGGCGCCAGTGCCGCGTTCCCCCGCCGTGGGGTCCGTCCCGCCGCGTGGCCCTCGCGGGTGACGCCCCCAGACCCCGATCTTGGGGTGACGCCTCACTTTGGGGGGGTCGCAGCAGCGGGGAGCTCGCGGGGAGGGGGGGGGGTCAGCGTGTGTCCCCCTCTCCAGCCGTGTCCTTATGGGGGTCCCATCCGTGTCCCCGTGGGGTGGCACGGCCGGGGCTCCTTGCCTGTTATCCCCCTGGGCTCCCCCTCTGCGGGGCCCCCCCTTTTCCTGCAGAGCTTTGTGTAACGCTGCGACCCCCAGGTCCCTTCTGGGGGTACCCCCAGGCCCCCCCCACATCCCAGGGGAACACCGGAGGGGAGGGGGCCACATCCCGCCCGGGGTGGGTGCTCAGGGGGGGCTCGGTGCGGGCTCAGAGCCCCCCGTTTGCTGCGGGGGGACCTTTTCGGGGGTCCCGCGGTGCTGACAGGCGCTTGGTCCCGCAGGGCTCCCGGGCGGCGCGGGCACAGTCCCGGTGCCCCGGCCGGCGCTGACGGACACGCGCCTCTGCGAGCCCCCCCGGCACCCGCGGGCCACCATGGACCCCCAGAGCGACACAGGTGAGAGCCCGAGGGGGGCTGCGCCCGCTGGGCACCGCTGCGAGAGCCGGGCCCTGCCCCTGGGCACCGCCGTGTCCCCCTGGGCACCGCCGTGTGTCCCCTGTCCCCGCCGTGCCCCCCCAGTGTGGCACCCAGCAGATATCGGGGTACCGGGGGGCCGCAGCTCCAGCGGGGGCACATCCGCGCCAAACGGGGGTACCGGGGGGCACCCCCTGCCCCGCTTATCCCAGCCCGTGCCCCTGCCCCCCTGCCGGTGCTCCCGGGCCCCGCTGGGAGGGGAAACTGAGGCACGGCTGGCGGCACCGTCGTGGCACGGCTCACACGTGGCTCTTTATGGCACCGGGGGCGGGTCCCCGCTGCCCCCCGGGGTGCCACGCGTGGGGACAGGGACAGCCAACCGTGGTGGCCGCCAGGGCCGTGCCCGCGCTGTCCCGGTTCCCGCCCTATAATTATCCCGGGGGGAACTCCGGCGACATCTGGACGCGCTGGTGTCCCCCCCCCTTCCACCACCCCGAGGGGACACGCGGCAGCGCCGACACCGCGGCCTCCGCAGGGGAAACTGAGGCACGGGGCGGTGGTAGCGGGTGTCCCCTCTGTCCCCAGCCCGCCCCCCCGGGCCGCCCGCCGGTATTTGCGGAGCGGCCGCGGGGCTGGAGCGCGGCCCGGCCGTGCCTGGCACGGGGCTGGCACGCGGCGCGGTGGCACGGGGACACGGCCGGGCCACCTCTGCCATCCCCGGCCGCTTCCCGCGGGGTCCCTTCCCGGCTTTGGGGCTGTTTGGAGGCGTTTGGTGACCCCTCGGGAGGGCTGGGCTGGGAGGGCTCGGCCGGGCTGGGACCATCGGGGATGTGGCAGAGGCCACCCCTGCACTCAGTCAGCCCCTGGGGGTCCCCAATCAGCCCCTGGGGGTCCCCAGTCGGCTCCTGGGTGCTCCGTGACCCCCCCAGGGCTCCTTTTCCCGCCCCCATCCCAGAACCGGGGGGTCCCTTGGGTGCAGGTCTCATCTCAGGGTGCAGCCCCCTCCCTCCCCTCCTCCTCCCTCCCGGAGTTCTGGGGGTCCCCACTGCTCCCCCAACACCCCTGAGGGTCCCCCAGGTGTGCCACCACCTCTGGGAGGGGCTCCGCGGGCCGGGCCCCCCCCTCTGCCCTGCTGTGGGAGCCAGGACAGGAGTCTGGGCTGGGATTTGGGGTGCGACCACCGGGAAAGGGGGTCCGGGAGCCGGGCGGGCCCATTCCCGCGGCCTCCTGCCCGCTGGCAGCACCAGAAATAGCCGGGCTGACGTCAAGGCCCAAAGCACCCCGGGGGGGGGGGCAGCGGGGGGGTCGCGGGGTGTCCCAGAAATATCCCGGCTATTAAAAGTCTTGGCTCGGGATTAACGCCTGGTAAATAAACGTGGCGCTGCCGGGGGGGTTACGCACGGTCTGGGCGCCTGGGGGGGGGCGTGGGGGGGTCCCCAGTCCCCGAAAAGGGGGGGAGGATTCCACACCTCCTCAGCACGGTGTCACCCCCCCGCCCCTGCCCTGCCCAGGGTTGTCCCTGCAGAGCCGCTTGGGGACAGACACCGATGCGGTGGGAAATGTGCTGAGCTGGCCCCCCCAGCCCCTCTTGGGGGGCTCCTGTGGGGCACTCGGGGGGTCTGGAGTGCGCTGAGGGGGGGGGGTCCTCGGCAAGTGGGGCTAATCCCCCCCCCACCCCAGCACATCCCAGCTTTGGTTCCGGCAGCGCTGATTAACGCGGATTAACGTCCCTGGCAATTAGGGGGATGTGGGATGGAGCTGGGGGGTCCTGGGCACCCCAGGGCTGCCCGTGCCCCCCCCCCCCAGCCCCCCGGGCAGTTGGGGGATGCAGCTGGGTCTGGGGGAGGGGGGGGCACACAGCGCATCCCCTCCCGGGATCTGCCGTGGCCCCCCCGGCACAATTCCCTATTTATAGCCGGCTCCTCCCGTGCGCCGGCTATTCCCAGGCGCCAGAGAGAATAGCCTGGATTGGGGGGGGGGGGCGTGGGTGAGGGGGGGTCCTTCGGCCCTGCCCTGCCTGCACTGGGGGGGCTGCATTGGCTCCCGTCACCCCAAAACCCAGGGATGCTCTGTGACCCCCAGCCCCACCCGCCGGGGAGGGATTTGGGGGGGCTGGGGTTGGGTTTGGGGGTGCACGTGCAACCCCCCCCCCCCAGTTCCCAGCCCGTTCAGGGGGTCCCGGGTGTCTCTCTGCAGAGGGGGGGTCCGGCCGTGAGCCCCCGCTGGAGCTGCTGCCCCGTGTCCCCCTGCACGCTGCCTTGCCCGCCCCAGGTGAGTGGGGGCGGCCCCCCGTGCCCCCCAAAACCCGGTGACACGGTCCCAGACCCGGTGACACGGTCCCAAACGCGGTGACACGGTCCCAAACCCGGTGACACGGCCCCAAACCCGATGACACGGTCCAAACCCGGTGACACCGCCCCAAACCCGGTGACACGGCCCCAAACCTGGTGACACCCGCACAGGTGTGCGGGGGGGGGGAAGCTGCTGAACACGAGTGTGTTCAGGTGTGTAAAGGGAGATCCCCCCCCCTTGCACAAATGCGTGTGCAAGGGTGTGACAGGTGTGCAAGGACAGGTGCTGCAGCCCTGGGGGTGCCCCCACCCCAAAGCCCCCACTCACCCCAAAATGCCCCCTTGGCACCTCGGGGTGCTGAGACCCCCCCATTGCACCCCGACATCACACGGGGCCCTTTGGGGACCCCCGGCTGGGGGCGGCTGCAGGACCCCGGTGCACCCCCAAATACCCGCGGGAGAGCCAAATCCCGGGGCTGCACTGGGGGGGCTGGATGGGAATGGGGGGGTATTGGGATATTGGGGGGGTGGGTCTGTCTGTCCTTGGGGGGGTCTGTCTGTCCTTGGGGGGCTGCAGGAGGACCCCAGTGTACCCCCAAATACCCGTGGGAGAGCCGAACCCCGGGGCTGGATGGGACTGGAGGGGGTCGGGATATGGGGGTGCTGCTTCTCCTTCCTTGGGGGGGCTCTGTGGTACTGGGGGGGCTCTGGCTGTCCTTGGGGGGGGGGTCTCTCAGTGGCGGGGTTGGGGGGGGGTCTGTGCCCCCTCTCCGTGCACGGTGACGTCCGTGGGTCCGTGTGGGGACGGGGACACGTCAGTGCCCGGGGGAGGGGGCTCGGCTGGGCTGGGCTGGGCTGGGTTGGGGGGGGGGCTCATTGACATGCACCACGTGCCCCCCCCCGCCCGCCCCCGCCTTCCTGTGTGCGTGGGGCCGCCCCCCCCCCCCACTCCTGCGTGTCCCAGCCCTCCCTGTCTGTGCCCCCCGGTTGCTGCTGGGGGGAAATTTTGGGGTTGATCCAAGGAGATGGGGCTGAGGGGAGACCCCCGAGGGCTTCCTTGACACCCCCCCAGAACCCACCCCAAACCATCCCTGACCCCCCCATCCTTGCAGCATCCCCCTTCAATGAGTCCTATCACCCCTGGGACACCCCCAAACCCCTCTGCATCCCCGGAGCCCCCCAAACCTGCCCCTCAAAGCCCTCCCAGCCCCCTCCATCCTTCCCGGCGTGTCCCCATCCCATCTCCCCCCCGACCCAGCGTGTCCGGCAGGGCCGGAGGGGCCGGAGGGGCCGGGGCCCGAGGCGGGGGTGGACGCGGGGCTGGCGGCGGCGCGGGAGCAGCAGCTGCAGCGGGAGCTGGTGGCCCTGAAGCAGCAGCAGCAGCTCCAGAAGCAGCTGCTCTTCGCCGAGTTCCAGAAGCAGCACGAGCACCTCACCCGCCAGCACCAGGTCCAGCTCCAGAAGCACCTCAAGGTGGGTGGAAGGGGGGCATGGCTGGGGCTGGGGAGGGGATTTGGGGGTGCTGGAGGTGTGGGGGATCTGGGGGTGGATGGAGCTGGGGGAAGTCACCAGTCTGGGGGAGATGGGGCTTTTAGAGGGGTATTGGGGATGATGGAGCTTTTGGGGGGGTACTGAGGAGGATGGAGATGTGGGGTGTCACCCATTGGGGGGGAATGGGGCTTTTAGAGGGGTACTGGGGATGATGGAGATGGGGGGTGTCACCAGTCTGGGGGGGGAGATGGGGCTTTTAGAGGGGTATTGGGGATGATGGAGCCATTGGGGGGATACAGGGAGTGATGGAGCCGTGGGGTGTCACTGATGGAGGGTGAGGGAGCCATTGGGGGAGCACTGGGGGTGCCAGCACCATGGGGCACCTGCTCTTGGGGCCGGGGGTGTCACTGATGGACGGTGAGGGAGTCATTGAGGGGATGAAGCTTTTGGGGGGCACATTGGGGGTGCCAGCACCATGGGGCACCTGCTCTTGGGGCTGGGGGTGCCACTGATGGAGGGTGAGGGAGCCATTGAGGGGATGGAGCTTTTGGGGGGCACATTGGGGGTGCCAGCACCATGGGGCACCTGCTCTTGGGGTGTCACTGATGGAGGATGAGGGAGCCACTGGGGGGACACGGGGGGTTCCAGCGCCCCCCTCGGGGCCGGGGCTGAGGGGGGGTCCCAGGGCCGTGTCTGGGGTCCCACGGCGGTGCCCCCTCCCCACAGCAGCAGCAGGAGGCCCTGGCAGCGCGGCGGCAGCAGGAGCTGGAGCAGCAGCGGCAGCGGGAGCGGCAGGAGCTGGAGCAGCAGCGCCTGGAGCAGCTCCAGAGCCTGCGCCCCAAGGAGCGGGGCCGTGACAGTGAGTGGGGGAGCTGGGGGGGGATGTGGGGGTGCAGCGGGGCTGGAGGGGGGGGCTGTGCTGCCCCCCTGACCCCCCTGTGCCCCCAGGTGCCATCGCCAGCACGGAGGTGAAGCTGAAGCTCCAGGAATTCCTGCTCAGCAAGACGAAGGAGCCGGGCCCTGGCCCCCCCAACCATTCCCTCCCCCAGCACCCCAAATGTTGGTAGGTGCCCCCGAGCCCCCCCAGGCTCCCCCTCGAGGCACTCTGGGGGTGACCCAGGTGTCCCAGCGGGGTCTCTGCCACCTTTTTCCCCCCCTGCAGGGCTCACCACACCTCGTTGGACCAGAGTTCCCCCCCCCAGACCGGCAGCCCGGGGACCCCCCCGTCCTACAAGCTCCCCCTCCTCGGCACCTACGACGGCCGGGACGATTTCCCGCTCCGCAAAACCGGTGGGTGGCGGCGGGGACAGGGGGGGCGTGCCACGCCCGTTGGGGGTGACGGTGACAATCCCGGTGACAATCCCGGTGACAATCCTGGTGACGATCCCGGTGACAATCCCGGTGACACGCTTGTGTCCCCAGCGTCCGAGCCCAACCTGAAGGTGCGCTCGCGGCTGAAGCAGAAGGTGGCGGAGCGGAGGAGCAGCCCCCTCCTGCGGCGCCGCGACGGCTCCGTGCTCAGCGCCTTCCGCAAGCGCCACGTGGAGATCACCGGTGCGTGCCGGGGACACCGCGGGGACAATGGGGACACGGGCTGGGCTCGCTCACCAGGTCACCCAGGGCTTCCCCAGAGCCCCCGTGGCCTCTCATGGCTGGGGTGACACATGTGACACGTGTGAGGTGTCAGGGTGTGACACACCGTGTGACACAGAGTAGTGTCCCTGTGCCCATGTGACACACGTGTGTCCTGCAGTGTGGTGTGACATGGGGCAGTGTCTGTGTGACACAGGGCAGTGTCCCCATGCCCATGTGACAGAGGGTAGTGTCCTCGTGCCCGTGTGACACACGCATGTCCTGCAGTGTCAGTGTGACACAGGGCAGTGTCCTCATGCCCTTGTGACACATGTGTCAGTGTGACATGGGGCAGCGTCCCCATACCCGTGTGACACAGGGCAGTGTCCCCATGCCCATGTGACAGAGGGTAGTGTCCTCGTGCCCGTGTGACACACGCATGTCCTGCAGTGTCAGTGTGACACGGGGCAGTGTCCTCATGCCCTTGTGACACGTGTGTCAGTAGGGGCAGCATCCCCATACCCATGTGACACAGAGCAGTGTCCCCATGCCCATGTGACACCCCCATGTCCCCCGCAGTGTCATCGGTCTGCAGCAGCGCCCCCGGGTCGGGGCCCAGCTCCCCCAACAGCTCCCACGGTGCCCACAATGGCCTGGCCGCCTCTGTCCCCAACATCCACAGCGAGGTACGGCCCCACGGGGACAGGGACAGGGACATGCGGGTGGGAGGGGTCAGTGCTGTCCTGTCCCCACACGTGTTAGTGGCATGTCGTGTTCCCACCGTGCTGGTGTCGTGTCCCCACATGTTGGTGTCCTGTCCCCACACGTGTTGGTGACCTGTCCTGTCCCCACACGTGTTGGTGGCGTGTTCCCACAAGCGTTGGTGGCCTGTTGTGTCCTTGCATGTGTTGGTGGTGCGTCCCCACACTTTTTGGTGTCCTGTCCCCACACATGTTGGTGGCCTGTCCTGTCCCTATGCATGCTGGTATTCTGTCCCTACATGTGCTGTTCTGTCTGTCCCGTGGTGTCCCCCACGGGTGTTGATGCCATGTTTGCCGTGTGGTGCCACAGCAGCTCCTGCCCCAGCCCCGCGCCCTGGCCCTGGACGGGGCCCAGCTCAGCCTCTACACGTCCCCATCGCTGCCCAACCTCTCCCTGGGGCTGCAGGCCACTGTCACCGTCACCAGTGCCCACCTCCCCGTGAGTGGGGGCGCGGGGACTCTGGGCTGGGTGGCACTGGGACCCTGGGCTGGGTGGCACTGGGACTTGGCTGGTGGGACATGGGGAACCCCACAGGGGGTGGCAGGGGGACCTGGAGCTCCACAGAGGGAACATGAGGGGGACGTGGGGACACCGTGGCGGGTGGCACTGGGACATGGAACACCACGGGGGGGGGGGATATGGGGATGCAGTGGGGGGTGGCCTGGGGGGCCTGGCACCCTGCAGCAGGAATGTGGGGACCCCACAGGGGTGGCACAGGGACATGGCAGCTGTGGGGCGATGTGGTGACCCCACAGGGGTGGCACAGGGAGCCCACAGGAGTGGCACAGGGACCTGTTAGCCCTGGGGCAGTGTGGGGACCCCACAGGGGTGGCACAGGGAGCTGTTAGCCCTGGGGCAGTGTGGGGACCCCCAGTGTCACGGCTGTCCCCGCAGGTGTCCCCCAAGCTGTCGCCGCAGGCGGAGGGCGAGCGGCCGGGGGTGCCCCCGGGGGTGTCCCCGCTGCGCCCCGGGGCCGCCCTCACCGGGAAGTTCCTGAGCACGTCCTCGATCCCGGGCTGCCTGCTGGGGGTGGCCCTGGATGGGGGGGATGCCCCGGCCGGGTCCCCATCCCTGCTGCAGCACGTGCTGCTGCTGGAGCAGGCGCGGCAGCAGAGCACCCTCATTGCTGGTGAGCCCTGCGTGCCTGCTGCCTGTCCCCTCCTTAGTGTCCCCTCAGTGTCCCCCTGCTCCTCCCTTAGTGTCTAGTGTCTCCCTGATCCCTCCTCGGTGTCCCCTCAGTCCTCCCTCAGTGTCCCCCTGATCCCTCCTTGGTGTCCCTTCAGTGTCCCTCTGGTCCCCTCTCAGTGTCCCCCTTGATCCCTCCTCAGTGTCCCCCTGGTCCTCCCTCAATGTTCCCCCAGTCCGCCCCCTCAATGTCCCCATAATCCCCCCCTTCAGTGTCTCCCTGATCCTCTCCCAGTGTCCCCTCAGTCCTTTCTCAGTGTCCCCCTAATCCCCCCTGAGTGTCCCTCCAGTGTTGCCCCAGTCCCCCTCCAGTGTCCCCCCAGTACTTCCCCAGTTTGCCCCATTTTCCCCCCCAGTCCTGCCCAGTTCACCCCCCCTTTCCTTTCCTTCCCCCCTTTCCCAGTTCCCCCAGTCTGTCCCGCATTTCCCCAGTGCTCCAGGGTGGCTCTGACCCAGTGTCCCCGTGTCCCCGCAGTGCCCCTGCACGGGCAGTCCCCGCTGGTGATGGGGGTGGATCGGGGGGCTCTGTGGGGCTCGGGGTGGCTCTGACCCGGTGTCCCCGTGTCCCCGCAGTGCCCCTGCACGGGCAGTCCCCGCCAGTAACGGGGGGTGGATCGGGGGGCTCTGTGGGGCTCGGGGTGGCTCTGACCCAGTGTCCCCTGTCCCCGCAGTGCCCCTGCACGGGCAGTCCCCGCCAGTAACGGGGGGTGGATCGGGGGCTCTGGGGGGCTCGGGGTGGCTCTGACCCGGTGTCCCCGTGTCCCCGCAGTGCCCCTGCACGGGCAGTCCCCGCTGGTGATGGGGGGGGATCGGGGGGCTCTGTGGGGCTCGGGGTGGCTCTGAGCCGCTGTCCCCGTGTCCCCGCAGTGCCCCTGCACGGGCAGTCCCCGCTGGTGGCGGCGGAGCGGGCCGGGGCTCCCCGCGGCGGGGGCAGCAAGCTGCCGCGGCACCGGCCCCTGAGCCGCACGCAGTCCTCGCCGCTGCCGCAGAGCCCCCAGGCGCTGCCCCACGGGCCCCTCCAGCAGCACTTCCTGGACAAGCAGCAGCTCCAGCTGGCTAAGGTGGGGCATGGGGGGCGTGCGGGGTGGGTTTTGGGGAGCTTTGGGGCACCACCGGCCCCCAAAATACAGCAGGGGGAGCAGTGTGAGCAGGGGAAACTGAGGCACAGGGTGGGAAATTGGGGAAGGGCTGGACAAAGGTGTGTGGGGTGGCTGTGGGGTGACTGGGGCGTGGGATGGATGCAGGGCACGGGGTGGGTGCAGGGGGGCCATGGGGTGACCCTCACTTAACCCCCGTGCCCCCCCAGCTGCTCCCCAAGGGGGCGGAGCTGGCCCGGCAGCCCCCCACCCACCCCGAGGAGACGGAGGAGGAGCTGACGGAGCAGCAGTCGCCCCCCCCGGGGGAGAGGGGCCCCCCCGGCCCCCCCCTCGGCCCCCCCATTGCCCTGGTGTCCCCAGAGGCCGGGGACCCCCCGGAGCAGCCCCAGGACCCCGAGGGCTGCCAGGAGCCAGGGGACAGCGGGGACGAGGCCGAGGCCCCTGGGGACCCCGACGTCACAGAGCTGGGGGTCACCTACAAGCAGGTGAGACTTTGGGGGGCACCCAGACGCTCCCTGAATCTCCAGCACCCCCTGCCCTCCCCCCAGCCATGTCGTGTGTGTCCCCCCCCCCCGTTTTTGGGACGCTGCCGCAGCGATGACTCGCAAGGGTCGGTGGACTCATCCCCCCCTCTGTCCCCTGTCCCTGCCGCCCCCACACCGTGACCCCCCCGTCGGTGAGTCACTCACCCCCTCCCCTCCCCAGGTGTACCCCGAGGCGCCGCTGCAGCTCTTCCCCGCGCCCCCCCTGGGGGTCCTGGCTCTGCCCACGCCGCCCTCAGCCCGCACGCAATCGTCCCCGGCCAGCGTCAAACCCCCCCAGCCCGAGGGGCCCCCCAAGCACCTCTTCACCACAGGTAAGGTACTGAGGGACGGGGGGGTCCCTGTGCCCTGGGGGTGCTGGGATGTGGGGGTCTCCTGTCCCATGGGAAGGGCCAGGGGGTGGCTGTGTCATCCCCCCCCCACTCTGAGGGTCCCATTCTGTGGTGGGGCTGTGGATGTTCCTCTCCTGTGGGATTCCCTTCTTCCCTGGGGTTCCCAATCCTGGGGGTGCCCAGGGATCCCCAGCTCCATAGGATCCCTCTGTCCCCTGGGGTCCCCTCACCCCATAGGATCCCTCTGTCCCCTGGGGTCCCTCAGTGCCACAGGATCCCTCTGTCCCCTGGATTCCCAATATTTTGGAGTGTTCTGGGGTCCCCCAACTCCACAGGATCCCTCTGTCCCCTGGGGTTCCCAATACTTTGGAATGTCCTGGGGTTCCTCAGTGCCACAGGATCCCTCTGTCCCCTGGGGTTCCCAATACCTGGGGGTGCCTGGTGTCCCCAATCCCATGGATTCCCTTTGTCTCCCGGGGTTCCCCACACCTCGGGGTGCCCAGGGATCCCTGTACCCCCGGGGCTTGCCCCTCCCTGGGGGTGTCCCGGGGTGCCAGCTGTGCCAGCTGTGCCGTGCCAGGTGTGGGTGTACGACACGTTCATGCTGAAGCACCAGTGCACCTGTGGGAACACCACCATCCACCCCGAGCACGCCGGCCGCATCCAGAGCATCTGGTCCCGGCTGCAGGAGACGGGGCTGCTGGGCAAGTGTGAGGTGAGGGGGGGCTCCCCAAGTCCTGGGTGGGGGGTCAGGGTGGCACAGGGAGCCCAGGGGGCTCAGCCTCTGCCCTTCCCAGCGGATCCGGGGCAGGAAGGCGACGCTGGAGGAGATCCAGACGGTGGCACTCGGAGCACCACGCGCTGCTCTACGGCACCAGCCCCCTGAACCGCCAGAAACTGGACAGCAAAAAGCTGCTGGGTGGGTGCTGGGGGGCCCCCCGATGCCTGGGACCCCCCCTCTCTGGAGCTGGGGTCACCTTGCTGCCTGTTCCTTGTGATCCCTCTGTTCCCTGTGGGTCTCCATCCCCTGGGGCGTCCAGGAGAGTCCGTGTCCCATGGAGGGTCCCAGTCCTTGGGGTGTTCAGGGGTCCCATGGGGTCCCTCTGTCCTTGGGGTTTCTCCATCCCTTGGGGTGCCTGGGGTTCCCCCTGTCCCCACAGCCTGTCCCGTTGGCTCCTTGTCCCCTGGTGTTTCCCGTCCCTTGGGGTGCCCAAGGGTGCCCTTTTCCCATGGGATCCCCCATCCCCTGGCGTTCCAATCCCTTGGGGTGCCCTTTTCCCATGGGATCCCCCATCCCCTGGCATTCCCAATCCCCTGGGTGCCCTTTTCCCATGGGATCCCCCATCCCCTGGCGTTCCCAATCCCTTGGGGTGCCCTTTTCCCATGGGATCCCCCATCCCCTGGCGTTCCCAATCCCTTGGGGTGCCCTTTTCCCATGGGATCCCCCATCCCCTGGCATTCCCAATCCCCTGGGGTGCCCTTTTCCCATGGGATCCCCCATCCCCTGGCGTTCCCAATCCCCTGGGGTGCTCAGAGGTCCCCTTACCCCACGGGACCCCTGTGTCCCCTTGTCCCCATCACCCCGCAGGTCCCATCACTCCGAAGACGTACGCGGTGCTGCCGTGCGGGGGCATCGGGGTGAGTCTGGGGGCAGGGCTGGGGGTGTCCCCGGGGTGGCCGTGCCCCCGTGACCCCCGGTGTCCCCGCAGGTGGACAGTGACACGGTGTGGAACGAGCTGCACTCGTCCAGCGCGGTGCGCACGGCCGTGGGCTGCCTGCTCGAGCTGGCCTTCAAGGTGGCCGCAGGGGAAGTCAAGGTGAGCGTGTGGCGCTGTCACTGCCTCCCTGCACGTGTCCCTCCCTGTCCTGTCTCCGTGTCACACACACGTCCCTCTGTGTCCCACCCATGTCCCTCTGTCCCAGTTGTGCCCCAATACCACACGTCTCTGTGTCACACGCACATCCCTCTGTGTGCCATCCATGTCCCTCCCTGTCCTGTGCGTGTCCGTCTGTCCCAGTTGTCTCTATGTCACACACAGATCCCTCTGTGTCCCACCTGTGTCCCTCTGTCCCAGTTGTGCCCCAATGCCACACGTGTCTCTGTGTCACACATACATCCCTGTGTGTCCCTCCCTATCCCATGCATGTCCCTCTGTCCCATTTGTCCCCAATGCCACATGTCCCTCTGTGTCACACAAATGTCCCTCCCTGTCCCACCCATGTCCCACTCGGCCCCAGTTGTGCCCCAATGCCACACACATCTCTGTGTCACACACACATCCCTCTGTGTCCCATCCATGTCCCTCCCTGTCCCATACATGTCCCTCTGTCCCAGTTGTGCCCCAGTGCAACACGTGCCTGTCACACACACGTCCCTCTGTGTCCCACTTGTGTCCCTGTGTCCCAGTTGTGCCCCAGTGCCACACGTGTCTCTGTGTCACACACACGTCCCTCTGTGTCCCACTCGTGTCCCTGTGTCCCAGTTGTGCCCCAGTGCCACACGTGTCTCTGTGTCACACACACACGTCCCTCTGTGTCCCACTCTTGTCCCTCTGTCCCAGTTGTGCCCCAGTGCCACACGTGTCTCTGTGTCACACACACGTCCCTCTGTGTCCCACTCGTGTCCCTCTCTGTCCCCCAGAATGGCTTCGCTGTCATCCGCCCCCCAGGCCACCACGCCGAGGAGTCCACGGCCATGTGAGTACAGGGACAGGGCTGGGACCCTCACCCAGGGCCACCCCCCTGCCCAGGGCCCTGCACTGATGTCCCTTGTCCCCAGGGGCTTTTGCTTCTTCAACTCCGTGGCCATCTCGGCCAAGCTGCTGCAGCAGCGGCTCAGCGTGGGCAGGATCCTCATCGTGGACTGGGTAAGGGGGGCACAGGGGGGACCCCGCAGGCCTTGGGGCCCGCCTGGGTGGGTGTGGGGGTGTCCCTGAGCCCCGGGTGCCCCCCCAGGACATCCACCACGGCAACGGGACCCAGCAGGCCTTCTACAGCGACCCGCACGTGCTCTACATCTCCCTGCACCGCTACGACGACGGCAACTTCTTCCCGGGCAGCGGGGCCCCCGAGGAGGTACCGGGGGCACTTTGGGGGGTGGGGGTCCCTCCGTGCCCCCCCCTGAGGCACGGGGGGGGGGGGGTCACTCACCCGTGGCTGTGCCCAGGTGGGCAGCGGGCTGGGCGTGGGCTACAACATCAACATCGCCTGGACCGGCGGCGTGGACCCCCCGATCGGGGACGTGGAGTACCTGACAGCCTTCAGGTGGGGGGGCTCTGCCTCGGGGGGGTCCTGAGCCCTTTGGGGGGTTCCTGAGCCTCTTGGTGGGTTCCTGAGCCCTTGGTGGGTTCCTGAGCCTCTGGGGGGGTTCCTGAGCCTCTGGGGGGGTTCCTGAGCCCTTGGGGGGTTCCTGAGCCTTTGGGGGTGTTCCTGAGTCCTTGGGGGGGGGGTTCCTGAGCCCTTGGGGGGGCTCTGTCCTATGGGAGGTGTCCCTGTGTCCTGGGGGAATGGTCTCTGTGCAGTGGGGGGGTCCTTGCATCAGGGGGTCCTCTGGATCCTGAGGGGGTCCCTGCACACCTTGGGGGCTCCTTGCACACCTCGGGGGGGTCCCTGCTCCCTGGGGGGCTCCTTGCACACCTTGGGGGGGGGGGGGGTCCCTGCTCCCTGGGGGGCTCCCCAAGTCCTAGAGGCTGTCCCTGTTCTCAGTGTAGATCCCCATGTCCTGGGGGGCTGTCCCTGTTCTCTGTGAGGATCCCCATGTCCTGGGGGGCTGTCCCTGTGCTCTGTGAGGATCCCCATGTCCTGGGGCTGTCCCTGTTCTCTGTGAGGATCCCCATGTCCCGGGGGCTGTCCCTGCCCTCCTGGGGGGCTCCCCCAGCCCTGGGGGGGTCCCGAGCTGCCGTTGCCCCCCCCAGGACGGTGGTGATGCCCATTGCCAAGGAGTTCTCCCCGGACCTGGTGCTGGTCTCCGCCGGCTTCGACGCCGTCGAGGGCCACCTGTCCCCTCTCGGTGGCTACTCCGTCACCGCCAAGTGTGAGTGGGGGTCTGGGGGCACCCCGGGGGGGGACCCCGGCCCTGCCACCCCTCACCCCCTGCCCGGTGTCCCTGTCCCCCCAGGTTTCGGGCACCTGACCAAGCAGCTGATGATGCTGGCCGGGGGCCGGGTGGTGCTGGCGCTGGAGGGGGGGACATGACCTGACGGCCATTTGCGACGCCTCCGAGGCCTGTGTCACTGCCCTGCTCGGCCTCGAGGTACAGGGGACACCCCTGGGGCCACCCCGAGCCCCCCAGCCCTTCCCTGGGCGCGTGCTGGGCTGCACACCCCATGTCGTGTCTCAGTTTCCCCTCGTTGGTTGGTGAGGGGCTCCAGTCCTGTCCTGCTGTGGCTTTGGGGGTGCTGGTGGCAGTCTGGGTGTTCTGGTGGCAGTTTGGGTGTTCTGGTGGCAGTCTGGGTATGCTGGTGGCAGTTTTGGGTTGCTGGTGGCAGTCTGGGGGTGCTGGTGACAGTCTGGGGATGCTGGTGGCACTTTGGGGATCCTGGTGGCAGTTTGGGGGGGCTGGTAGCAGTCTGAATGTTCTGGTCATGGTTTTGGGTTGCTGGTGACAGTCTGGGTATGCTGGTGGCACTTTGGGTATGCTAGTAGCAGTTTGGGGATCCTGGTGGCAGTTTGGGGGGGCTGGTAGCAGTCTGAGTGTTCTGGTGGCAGTTTTGGGTTGCTGGTGGCACTTTGGGGATGCTGGTAGCCGTTTGAAGATGCTGGTGGCACTTTTGGGAGTCTGACGGGGTGTCCCCCTGCCAGCTGGAGCCCCTGGACCCGGCCCTGCTGCAGCAGAAGCCCAACGTGAACGCAGTGGCCACGCTGGAGAAGGTCATCGAGATCCAGAGTGAGGATGGGGACACAGGAGGTCCCTGAGGGGTCCCTGGGGCCGGTTCTGTCACAGGGGGGTCACGGGGGGTCCCTGCCCGCTCGGTGCCAGCCCTGTCCCTGTCCCTGTCCCCAGGCCGGCACTGGGGCTCTGTCCGGCGCTTTGCCGCCGCCGTGGGCCGGTCCCTGCTGGAGGCGCAGCGTGGGGACACCGAGGAGGCCGAGACGGTGACAGCCATGGCCCTGCTGTCCGTGGGGGCTGAGCACGGCAGGACGGAGCCACAGGCCAGGTATGACACGGGGGGACATGGGGGTGTGTGACAATGGGGGACATGGGGGGACGTGAGGGGTCTGACAATGGGGGACACGGGGAGATGTGGGGGTGTGTGACACTGGGGGACACGGGGGGACACAGGTCAGGGTGAATGGAGCCAGGTGTGACATGGGGGGGACACAGGGGGTGTGTGACAATGGGACATGGGGGTGTGTGACACCGGGGGGACACAGGGGACATGGAGGGATGTGACAGTAGGGGACAAAGGAAGGTGTGAATGGAGCCAGGTGTGACACCGGGGGACACAGGGGATGTGTGACACTGGGGGACACTGGGGGTGTGTGACAATGGGACATGGGGGTGTGTGACACTGGGGACACGGGGGTATGAATGGAGCCAGGTGTGACACTGAGGGGACACAGGGGACATGGGGGACACAGGATGGGGGTGAGTGGAGCCAGGTGTGACACTGGGGGGAACTCAGGGGACATGGGGGGACACAAGGGACATGGGGACGGTGTGACACAGGGAGGGTATGACACTGTGGGGACACAGGGAACGTGGAGGGTGTGACTGGGAGACACAGGGGAACACGGGGAGGGTGTGACACTGGGGGGGGACACATGTCCTGTGGGAGGTGACAGACGCTTGTCCCTTCCCTGCCCAGGCCAGCAGAGGAGCCCATGGAGGCTGAGCCCACGCTCTGACCCACCCGGATCATCCAGCAAACCAAGGAACACCTGGAAAAGATGAAAAACACACACACAAAAAAAAAAAAAAATCACAGTAAAAGGAAAAAAAAATCCAAAACACACAGACAAAAAAAAACACTAAAAAAAAAAAAGACAAAAAAAAAAAAAGGCAGAAATCGAAAGGAAAACCAGAAAAAAAAAAGAGGAAAATATTTTCTTTTTCTATTAAAAAGAGGAGAAAAACACAAAAAAATCCCCCCGCCCGTCCTGTGCCCCCGGCTCCCCGCGGTGTTTGCGGTCGTGTCTCTTGTGCAGCAGCAGTTCCACCAGCACCCCCTGTCCCCCCCATGTCCCCCCTTGTCCCCCCGTGTCCCCTGTGTCCATCGGGTCCCCCCCGGCGCTGCCCGGACCCTCCCGGGGCTCCTCGAGATTTTTTTTAGGGTTTTTTCCTTATTTTCCCCTATTTTTGTGTCTCCCCCCCTCGTTCCCTCCCTGGCTCCGTCCGCCCCCCCCGGGGGAGGCAATGGGAAATATTCGTGCCTTTAATTAAGTATTTTTTTTTAATGCCTTAATTTCCCTTCATTTTGGGTTTTTCTTAATTTTCTTGGGTTTTTTTTTTGTTTTCCCTTCGGCCTCCCCGTTTTGGATGGGGACAGGAGACAAAGGGACGAGCCCTGTCCCCAACCCCCCCCTCTGTCACTTTGTCACCCCGGCGCCTTTGTTGGGATCAAATTTATCTTTATAGGAGAGGGAAAAACAAAAAAAAAAAAAAAAAAAAAAAAGGAGAGAAAAAGAAAAAAAAAAAAAAAGAGGAAAAACCACTTTATTTTCCTGTTTTGTCACCAGCCGGAGGGGCCTCGGAGCGATTTTAGCTTTAAAAGAGAGAAAACCACCCCCCCAAAAAAAAAGGGATATAATTTTATTACAGATGGATTATTTAATAGTATTTTTTTAATGGGGGGGCGGAGGGGGCGACTGGGACAGGGACAGCGCGTCGTGGGTTAAATTATTCCGGGGGTGGGCGGGAATTTGGGGTGGTCCCAAATTAGGACAGGGGGCTAAGGGTGTCCTTGTCACCTCCCCTGGGGGGGAAGGACCCGGTTGAGGGTGAGGAAAGAAGGGGGGGGAATCCTGGGTGTCCCCAACTGTGGGGACACCCCGAGTGTGGTGGGATCCCCGTCCCATCCCGGGAGACGAAAACGCCTCTGGATTTGTGGGGAGGGGATCAGGGTCTCCGGCCCCCCCTGGATTGCTTTGGGCTGGTGTCCCCCCCCCCCTGCCCCGCCGTGTGTCCCCTGTGTCCCCCGGTCCGTCCGTCCGTCCGTCCGTCCCCGCTCACGCTCGCTCTGGGTCTCGGTTCAGTATTTTGTAAGATGTCACCGATGTTCGTCCTTGTATAAATAAACTGTTTCTGGCAATACCCACCGGGCCCGTGCCTCTGGGGGGGCTGGGGGTGTCCCTGTGTCCCTTTTCCTGTCCCTGTGTCCCTGTCCCTGTGTCCCTGTCCCCGACTCTCCTTTCCCTGTCCCTGTGTCCCTGTCCCTGTGTCCCTGTCCCCGACTCTCCTTTCCCTGTCCCTGACTCCCCTTTCCATGTCTCTGTGTCCCTTTTCTTGTCCCCAAGTCCCTTTCCCTGTCCCTGTGTCCCTTTCCCTGTCCTTGTGCCCCTGTCCCCGTATCCCTTTCCGTGTGTCCCTTTTCCTGTCCCTATGTCCCTTTCCCTCTCCCCGTGTCCCCTTTTCCTGTCACTGTGCCCCTTTCCCCGTGTCCTTTTCCCTGTTCCCGTGTCCCTTTCCCTGTCCCTGTGTCCCTTTCCCTGTTCCCGTGCCCCTTTCCCTGTCCCCCTTTCCTTTGTCCCATTCCCTGTCCCCGTGTCCCTTTCCCTGCCCCCTTCTCCCCGCCGTGTCCCCACGTGCCTCAGTTTCCCCAGGCACCGCAGGGAGGGAACAGGGGGGGGTCCCCTTTGTCACCCCCGTGCTCGGGGGGCTCTGTCCCCGCTGTCCCCCTCCCCATGCCCGTGTCCCCCAGCAGCACTCGGGGCCCGGCTCGGTTCTGGTGCTTTATTTGGTTCCAAACGGGGGCGGCCCCGCACACACCGCGGTGAGGGGGGGTCCCGGCGAGGCAGGGGGGGGTCCCATCCCTGCCGTGGAGAGGTGGGGACAGCTGGGGACAGCTGGGGAGGGGGGTGGCAGCTCAGTGTCCCCGGGCCGGGGCTGTCCCTGGGCTGTGTCCCCAGACCCCGCTGGGCACGGGGCACCCCCGGCTCTGCGCCGGGGGGGGAGCAGGGACCCCTCCCCAGGGTGAGGGGGGGTCCCTGGGGCAGGGGAGGGTGAGCATGAACCGGGACAATGCTCGGTTTGGGGGGAAGGAGTGAGAGTGAACGGGGAACAGAGCAGGGCCCCCACTCAATTTGGGGTCCCTGGAGGAAAGGGAGGGTGAGGATGAACTGGAACAGAGCAGGGCCCCCCACTCAATCTGGGGGTCCCTGGGGGGAAGGAGGGTGAGGATGAACTGGAACAGAGCAGGGCCCCCCACTCAATTTGGGGGTCCCTGGAGGAAAGGGAGGGTGAGGATGAACTGGAACAGAGCAGAAATCCCCCACTCAATTTGGGGGTCCCTGGAGGAAAGGGAGGGTGAGGATGAACTGGGACAGGAGTGGAGACCCCCAATTCGGTTTCAGGGTCCCTGGGGTGAAAGGAGTGTGAGAATGAACTGGCAACAGAGCAGACACCCCCTGCTCAATCTGGGGGTCCCTGGGACAGGTGGGGATGAACTGGGAGCAGATCCCCCCCATCCCCGACATTGGGGGGGGGTCTAGGGGGTCGCCCGGAGCCGCCGGAGGGTGAGGATGAGCTGGGGCAGCAGGGATTCCACCAGCACGGGCCCCAGGGCGTAGCGGGCACCCACGTTCAGGTACCACAGGGCGCTGCCGCCGTTCTTGGGCAGCTTGTGCAGCATGTCCAGAGCCAGCAGCCCCAGCGTGGCGCTGCCCAGGGGCGGCTCCAGCCCCCGCAGCTCCTCGGCGGCGCGGCGGCTCAGGGGGTGCCGGGCGGCCAGGGCCAGCCCCAGCGCGCTGCCGCTCACCCGGCACAGCGAGGACCAGGGCCGCGTCTCGGGCCGCAGCCAGGCGGGCTCCGAGCAGCGGGCGCTGGCCCGGCGGAGGGACCTGCGGGGGGACAGCGGGGATCGGGGTGTGACCCCTCCAGGGATGGCTATGGGGCAGCCCAATCCCCAAACTGCTCTGGGATTGGGGTGTGACCCCTCCAGGAACGGATATGGGGCAGCCCAATCCCCAAACTGCTCTGGGATTGGGGTGTGAAACCCCCAGGAACAGCTATGGGATTGGGGTGTGACCCCTCCAGGAATGGCTATGGGGCAGCTCAATCCCCAAACTGCTCGGGGATTGGGGTGTGACCCCTCCAGGAACGGCTATGGGGCAGCCCCCTCCCCAAACTGCTCGGGAATTGGGGTGTGACCCCTCCAGGAACAGCTCTGGGATTGGGGTGTGACCCCTCCAGGAACGGCTATGGGGCAGCCCCCTCCCCAAACTGCTCGGGAATTGGGGTGTGACCCCTCCAGGAACAGCTCTGGGGGCAGCCCAATCCCCAAACTGCTCAGGAGGCCACATCCCTGGGGCCAGCCCTGGCACATCCCTGCAGTCAGTGCCTAAACCACTCTGGCAGGAGATTGGTGGGGATGCCTCCCTCCAGCCTGATCCCTCCTATCCCTGGGGATACCCCTCCCTGGCAAGCACATCCCTGGGCCCCCTGACACCCCAGAAGCTGATCCCTGTGACACTCCTTTCCCCCCGTGACACCCCCATCTCCCTGTGACACCCCTGTCCCCCCTGTGACACCCCTGTCCCCCTGTCACACCCCTGTCCCCGGGCTCTCACCAGTCCAGGTCCAGCCCCGCGGCTGTGGCCAATCCGTGCAGGGCCAGCGCGCTCAGGAGCAGCCCCAGAGCCGTCAGCAGGAAGAAGCGAACCTTGAGGAAGTTGGGGGGCCAGCGCTGCAGCCCCCAGCCCAGAGCCATCCCTGGGGCGGGGACAGGCGGGGTCGGCACTGGGATGGGATGGGCTGGGAAGGGGCTCCGGGGAAGGGGAAGGGGCTGGGAGCCCCCCTCACCTGCCAGGGAGCCGGAGATCACCTGGTGGGGGAAGTGGGCCAGGACGAAGATCCGGGAGAGCCCCATGGCCACCAGCAGGAGGAGGTAGAGCAGGAACGGGACCAGCCTCAGCAGCCGGCTGGGGGGAAACGGGGTCAGGAGGGCGGGAAGGGGGAAAGCACAGCAAAAAAAGGCCCTGGGGGCATTCACAGCCTCCTCCCGAGCTGCCAGGGGAGGGATGTGTCCCCCTGGAGCTGCCCTACTGGGAGGGATCTGTATCACCCTCCATGGGTGCTGCCCACTGAGTGGGGGTCCCACATGCACCCCCTCTTCCCACAGGGGCTCTGGAAGCTTCCAAGGGATGGGGTCTCCATCCCGGGACTCCTCCTTCTGCCCCACCCCCTGTTCCCACAGAGGCCCAGGGCGCTCCCCAGCGCTGCCCCTGCCCGTCCCAGACTCACCTCCGGGTGTACCTGGACACTGCCTTGCTCAGGGCGGTGACAATCGGCCACAGGGCCGCCCCCAGGATCATGCAGTGCCCCGAGGGGCTCCCTGGGGGATGAAGCACAGGGCGGCTGTGGGGAGAGCTGGCAATGCCCAGCCCAATCCCTTCCCCGCTGCTCAGGAGGGGATTTTCCCACCTCCAGCCCAGCGTTCCCACAGGTTTGGGGCTCCTGGGGCTCCTCCCAGGGCTGCCCGAGCCGGGACTCACCTGGTCCTGTCTCACAGGTGACCGGGAACTGGCGCAGGGGGAGCTGCTCCCGCTCAGACAGCCCCGACTCGTGGATCCACCAGTACGGGCGTTCCCCGAACAGGAACCTGCGGCACGGACAGCAGGGGGCCGTGGGAGGGAGCCCAGAGCCGGGCAGGATCATCCCTGCAGCCCATCCCAGGATTTCCAGGAGGGCAGGATCCCTGCAGCCATCCCTGGGATCCAGGCGAGCAGGATCCCTGCAGCCCATCCTGTATGATCCAGGCGAGCAGGAGCCCTGCAGCCCATCCTGTATGATCCAGGAGGGCAGGATCCCTGCAGCCCATCCTGTATGATCCAGGAGGGCAGGATCCCTGCAGCCCATCCTGTATGATCCAGGAGAGCAGGAGCCCTGCAGCCCATCCTGTATGATTCAGGAGAGCAGGATCCCTGCAGCCCATCCTGTATGATCCAGGAGGGCAGGATCCCTGCAGCCCATCCCTGGGATTCAGGAGGGCAGGATCCCTGCAACCCATCCCAGAGGAGATGAAGCCACAGAAGATCAGGATCCTTTGCCAGTCCTGATCTCTCCCGAGCTTTTCTGTGCCAGGAATTCCTGGCAGATGCTCGGGGCAGCTCGGGTGACCCTGTGCAATGCCACAGGCAGGGAGTGTGTGCCCAGAGTGCCACAGCCAGGGCGCAGGGAGTGTCCCAGTGCCCCCCTCCACGTGCCCCCCTCACCACTTGAGGACCACGTTGAGCCACTCGGCCACCAGAGCGATCCAGAGGACCATGAGGGACACGTGCTCGTCCAGGCCGCGGGCCAGCGGGAAGCACACGGTGTAGATGGAGTTGGGGTCCAGGTGCGAGGTCAGCAGGAGCCAGAACTGCTCCAGCCAGGGCGGCCCAGCCTGCAGGGCCACGGCGGCGTGGATCCCGGCCTCGTGCAGGGCGTCCATGGCACTGGGCTGGGACACAGTGAAGAGATCAGCCCCAGCACAGATCCCCTGGGATCCCTTGGGGACAGCAGGGGAGGTGGCTGGATCCCGAGGAATCCCTTTGGGACAGGGTGGGAGGTGGCTGGATCCCGAGGGATCCCTTTGGGACATCAGAGGAGGTGGCTGGATCCCAAGGGATCCCTTGGTGGGAGGTGGCTGGATCCCGAGGGATCCTTAGGAATCCCTTGGGGACAGTGAGAGGTGGCTGGATCCCAAGGGGATCCCTTGGCACTGACTCAGACACTCATTCACCACTCAAAGCTTGCCCACAAATGACTCCCAGATTCCTGCCCCAGGGCAGAGCACACCTGTGGCTCCGGGCTGGGGGCCAGGGCAGGATCCTGGGGGTTGTTGTGGGTTTTGCTGGAGCAGCTGAGATGCTCCAAAGAGCCACCACCTCCCTGGGCTTTCCCTTGGAAACCTCCTGGGTGTCCTGTGGTCATTCTGCAGAGGGCCTGGGGTGTCCCTGGAACCACCCTTGGTTTTCCTTGGCGTTTTCCCCGGGTCTCCCTAAGGCCTGTCCTGGCCCTCCCTGGGGTCCCTCTGGGGTCCCTCCGGGCCTCCCTGTGCTCTCAGGCCCGAGGCCTCCCTGGGGTCTCCCTACATCAGACCCGCGGCCTGCCCGTCCCCACCAGCAGCCTCAGACCCTCCCTGAGCCCCCCGGTGGCACTGCCCATCCCCCGCTACCGGCGGGAGGTACCTGAGGGGGGGGCTCCATCCCGGGGACCCCTCAAAACTCCCTCCCGCCGCTCTCCGCGCCCTCTTCCGCCTACACTTCCCACCACCGCCCGCGGGGCGGCGCGCTACGGCGGGGCGGCAGGGACAAACCGCGGCCGGGCTGGGCTCAGCCAATCAGGGAGCGGGGCGGAGCAGATCGGCGGGGCGGAGCGCCAATCCCCGCCCTCGCTGCCGCGCGGCCCCGCCCCCGCCGCGCCTGGCCGAGGCGAGCGGAGCCGCGGGCGCTGCGGGCGGACAAGATGGCGGCGCCGGGCGAGTACTTCAGCGTGGGCAGCCAGGTGTCCTGCCGCACCTGCCAGGAGCAGCGCCTCCAGGGCGAGGTCGTCGCCTTCGACTACCCCAGCAAGATGCTGGCGCTCAGTATCCACCCGCCCGCGCCTCGCCGCGTTGGTCCCGGCCCCGGCGCGGCCCGCTCGGGCCTCTGCGGCCCGCCCGATGAGGGGGGGGGGGGGGCGTGAGGGAGGGAGGGGAAAGGGGGAAAAAGGGGAGGGGGTGTGAGGGGATCGAGGTGGGCGGCGACGGGGAGGGGTCTGAGGGGCTGCGGGAGACCCCCGGGGGATGGGGGGAGCGGGGAGTCCGCTCGGGAGGTTTTGGGGGAATTGGGGAGGTTGGTGTTGGGGTGAATGAGAGGATTGGGGAGCTCGGTGTGCGGGGATTGGGCGATTGTAACCGGGGGAGCGGGGATTGAAGAGCCCTGAGCTGGGGTGAATGGGGGAGTTGGGGGTCTTGTAATGGGTGAATGGGATGTGGGGTGTCCTGTAGGGAGATTTTGGGAGGATTGGGGAGGTTGGTGTTGGGGTGAATGAGGGGATTGGGGAGCTCTGTGTGCGGGGATTGGGGCGATTGTAACCAGGGGAGTGGGGATTGAGGAGCCCTGGTGAATGGGGGAGTTGGGGGTCTTGTAATGGGTGAATGGGATGTGGGGTGTCCTGTAGGGAGATTTTGGGGGGATCGGGGAGGTTTGTTCTGGGGGGATTGGGGAGCCCGTGTTAGGGGGAATGGGGGGATTGGGGGCCCGTTTTGGGGTGAATGGGGGATGGAAAGGCCCTGCATTATAAAGAGCTTTAGGAAGGTAGTGAGGAGCTCTGTACTGGTTTGAATGGGAGCAGAGAGAGCACCCAGTTTTGGGGAGAATGGGGGGGAACTGTGGTGTCCTGAAGGTTTTTGGGGGCAGCAGTGAGGAATTCTGTAGTGGGGTGAGTGGGGGTGTGGCATTCACTATGGGAGGGTTGGGGAGCCTTTTATTGGGGTGAGTGGGGGGCAGTGGGGTGTTCCCTGCCCCCACAGTGTGGATACACTTGGATGTGGTTTTGTTTGGAATCTGCAAGGAACGGGAAAAGCCGAGGGCTGTTGGAAAGCAGTGGAGGGTCCCAGGAGAGAGGGGAAGGAGAATGCTCAGCTCAGGGCTGGCATTGGAGTTCTGGGGGGCCAGGGGTGGCTTCTGCAGGGAATGAGGAACTGGGAGAGGATTTTGTGGCTGGAGCTGTGGGAAACACATCAGGAAAAAGCCCCCTGGGTGCCTGGGATGTGGTTGGAGCCTGGGGAGCTCCCAGATCCCACTAGAAGCAGCAGGAAAATCCCAGAGGGTCCAACAGGTCACTCAGTGCTGCTTGTCAGCCCCACGGGGGGCTGAGCCAGCCCTTCCCAAAGTCCAGCTGTTCCTGCCACATCTGGGGTGCTCCAGCTCATCCCCCAAACGGGGAGACTGGAATTCCCTGGCTTTCTGCTCATCCTTGAATGGTGTTTATTAGGGAGGGCTCCACCTTGTGCTCAGAGGGGCTGGGAGAGGAACAGGGGCTTCCATGAGGATCTCTACTAGGGGGAGATGGTGTTGGCATAGAAGAGGCTCTCCATGCTGTGCTCCATCCATCCATCATCCATCATCCATCCATCCCTCCATCCATCCATCATCCATCCATCCATCCATCCATCCATCATCCATCCATCCATCCCTCCATCCATCCATCATCCATCCATCATCCATCCCTCCATCCATCCATCATCTATCCATCCATACATCCATCCATCATCCATCCCTCCATCCATCATTCATCCATCCATCCATCCATGTCCATCCATCCATCCACCCATCATCCATCCATCCATACATCCATCATCCATCCATCCATCCATCCCTCCATCCATCCATCCATCCATGTCCATCCATCCATCCCTCCATCCATCCGTCCATCATCCATCCATCCATCCATCCATCCATCATCCCTCCATCCATCCATCCATCCATCCATCCATCCATCCACCCATCATCCATCCATCCATCCCTCCATCCATCCGTCCATCATCCATCCATCCATCCATCCATCATCCATCCATCCATCCATCCATCCATCCATCCATCCATCCATCCATCATCCCTCCATCCATCCATCCATCATCCATCCATCCATCCATCCATCCATCCATCCATCCTCATGGAAGCAGAGGAATTGTGGAGGAATCCCTGCCAGCTCTGAAAGGAGTGTTTTGGGGTTTTTTTTTGGGGGGTGCTGTCTCATTCCCAACAACCAGCCTTGTGTGTCCCTCTGCTGGGAGTTCCCTTCCTTCCAGAGCAGGGAATCCTCCCTGGGGATGCTGCTGCCTGCAGGAGGAAAAGAATTCTGGTGGAAAAAGTGCAAATTTGGTGGTGCTGGCTCAGGCCAGTGGTGGTGGTGGGCTGGTGCTGGTGGACCAGGACTGGAGAACTCAACCTGGAGTTGGGATAGACCAGGATCAGCACCCAGAGGGAGATGAGTGAGATGGGATCGCTGACGATCCCAAGGCAGCAGAGGAGCTCCCCACAAACCCAACCTCCTCCTGGTTTGCTCCTCACCTCCAAAAACCTCTCTCTGGATTTGTTTTCCTTAATGCCCTCCTCCAGAATGCCCCTCTTCCAGTGGCAAGCCCAACCACGCAGACATCCTGCTCGTAAACTTACAGTACGTGTCAGAAGTGGAAATAATCAATGACCGCACGGAAACGCCTCCCCCTTTAGCCTCCCTCAACGTCAGCAAGGTGAGAGAGCCCCTCCTCAGCAGGGGTCCCCCAAAATCCTGCAGGGATCCCCCAAAGTCTTGCAGGGATCCCCCAAAATCCTGCAGGGATCCAGCAGGATTCACCGCTGGAGCTGCTCCCAGTGCAGCTTCACAGAGTTCCATCCTGGATCTGGGGTTTGGTGATTTGGCTCTGGGTTTTACCACTTTGGGCTCTGGATTTTGGCATTTGGAGGCTGGATTTTGTTGGGTTTAGGGTCCAGGTTTTGGCATTTAGGGCCTGGTTTTTGGGTGGTTTTGGGGCCTGGGTTTTATGTCTAGATTTTTAGCCTTTGGGGACCTGGATTTTGGTATTTTTGCGGTCTAAGGTGATCTTGTTTTGGGGCTTGCATTTTGAGGGGTTTGGAGCCTGGACTTTGGTAGTTTGGGTCCAGGTTGTGGTGTTTGGGGTCTGGGTTATGCTATTTTGGATCTAGATTTTGCAGTTTTGGAGTGCACACAAAGGGAAACTCCTGGAATTCTGAGGAATTGCTTTTCATCCATCCTGGAATGGGATCACTGCCCATTCCCAGTGAGGTGAAAAACAGGGAAGGTGACCCCAAGCCCTCAGTGCTGGGATGAATCCAGGTGTGGGCTGCTCAGTTGTCACCTCCATGTGCCACAGGGACACCTCTCCTGGGCCTTTGTGCCACACAGGTGGCACCAGCTGGGTGTCCATCCCCTCCTGGGTCCCTTCCCAATGGATGAACACATCTGAGGTCTCAGATGGCACAGCTGCCACCACGCTGTGACTGTTGGCTGTCACTGCAGCAACTGACATGGCTGGGAGCTCAGCCCGAGGGAATCCCCCTCAGGAATTCAGTGTTAACTTCAGGGATCTCCCTCAGGAATTCCAGTGTTAACTTTGGGAAACACCCTCAGGAATTCCAGTGCTCACTTTGGGAAACCCCCTCAGGAATTCAGTGTTAACTTCAGGGATCCCCCTCAGGAATTCCAGTGTTCCCTTTGGGGATCCCCCTCAGGAATTCCAGTGCTGACTTTGGGGACCCCCCTCAGGAATTCCAGTGCTCACTTCAGGGATCCCCCTCAGGAATTCCAGTGTTAACTCTGGGGATCCCCCTCAGGAATTCCAGTGCTCACTTTGGGGAATCCCTCAGGAATTCAGTGTTAACTTCAGGGATCCCCCTCAGGAATTCCAGTGCTCACTTTGGGGATCCTGCTCAGGAATTCCAGTGTACCCTTTGGGAAACCCCCTCAGGAATTCCAGTGCTGACTTTGGGGATCCCGCTCAGGAATTCCAGTGTTGACTTTGGGGATCCCCCTCAGGAATTCAGTGTTCCCTTTGGGGATCCTGCTCAGGAATTCAGTGTTCCCTTTGGGAATCCCCCTCAGGAATTCCAGTGCTGACTTTGGGGACCCCCCTCAGGAATTCCAGTGCTCACTTCAGGGATCCCCCTCAGGAATTCCAGTGCTGACTTTGGTCTTTTCCAGCATCCCAGAATTGTGGGTTTGGATTTGGGGAGGTGACAGATGCAGTCAGGTTGGAAGGGGCTGTTCCAGTGGCAGGAGGGCAGTTCTGTGGGCTCTGCCCCACATCCCCGTCCCCATGGGGGCTCAGGCAGGCTGCTGCAGGACTGGGACGTTGCTGGTGGTACTGGTTGTACTGGGAGAAGGAGGTGTGGGCACATGGGAGTGCTGGTGGTGCTCCAGGTAACCCAGAGAGTTGGGGACTTTTGGGGACACCCCTGTCCCACGGGGCTGGCGCTCACCTGAGGACCTTGGCACAGCCACAGGGAGATTTTGGATGGATCCTCTTGATCTCCCCAGCCTGCTGGCACCCAGGTGGGATGAGGGGGGAGCCTGGCATGGCCCCTGGTGGCCCCCACGGTCCCTCCTTGCCTGGTGCTCTGAATTCCCATCCACTGCCAAGCAGGGAACTCCTTGGAGTGCTGGGATCCAGGGGCTGGAGCTGCAGGGCTGAGCTGGGATGGGCAGGGAGGGCTCAGCTGCTGGCTGATGGATCCCGTGGGAATGCTGGGATGCTGGGGATGGGGACACCTCTCCAGGGGTTCCAGTCACCTCCCAGTGGCCTCTTGGCAGGGCTGTGCCCAGGTCTGGATGCAGCAGCTGCTGGAGGAGCATCCCCAGGCCTGGGACAGAGGGGATCTAAACCTCAGGCTGGGGAAGGGGGATCTGCTCAGGGAGGACGTGGCAGAGGGGATTCCCAGGGCTCTGTCCCACAATTCCAGCCCATCCCAGTGTGGTGGTATGGGGGGGGTTCCCACTTCTCCAGCCTTGTGGCAGCCCCTCTGGAGAAGTGAGGGGCTGTGGCACCTCAGGGAAGGCCGGGAAGGGTGTGGGGTGCAGGGAAGTTCCTGTGGAATGTTGTGCCCGGTTTGGAAGCCTGGCTGGTGGTCTTGGAGAGAGCCATTCCCACATGGAACAGGCTGGGTGGCTTGTGAGGGTGAGGAAGGCTCCTGTCCCTGCTGAGGCATTCAGGGAGCACATCCCAGTGCTCCTGCAGTGCCTGCTGCCACCAGGAGGGGACTCGGGATGGCTGGGAGAGGGACTCCTGTCCCTCAGGGCCACTGAAGTGTCCCCACTCAGAGGGAGCTGGGGCTTTGGAAGGGGTGAGACCCCCTCAGGCAGCAGCAGGAAGCCAGAGCAGCTCTGGGTGTGCTCCCAGCAATGAGGAGGCTCCAGGAGGAGGAAGAGGAGGGATGATGCTGATGTGGCTCCTCCACTGCGGCAGCTCCAGCCAGGAAAAGGCAGCAGGTCCAAGGCTGCTGCCTCCAGGCTCTGCTTCCTTCTCCTCCCACATCCATGGGATGCAGCCTGGGGGAGGCCAGGGTCGGGGTTTTCCATCTCTATTCCAGCACCCTGTGTGTAATCACACCTCCCCACACATGGATGCAGCTCCCAGATAACCAATTCTGGTTATTTTTTGGGAACAAACCAACTGCTGCAGGCTAAAGTTGCTCCAACTCCTGCGTGGAGCATTTACTCCCAGCGTGTTGAGTGTTCCAGGCTCCTCTTCCCCATCTCCATCCCAAGTGACCTGAGTTTGAGGGGGGTTTGCACCTAAAATGCCAGAATTAATCCAGAAAGGGGCAGGGGGATGTGGGGGAAGATGGCACCACCATCCCCCAAATCTCTGGGAGGCCCTGGCAGTGCTGAGGGTGCCTCCAAAGGGGAATTCAGGCTGGAATCACAAGGGGCAGAGCCGTGTCTGGGGTGTCCCCGTGTCCCCTCACTGCTCCCAGCCCAAGCCCCTGTCCCTGTGTGTCCCCAGCTTGCCAACAAAGCACGGACGGAGAAGGAGGAGAAGATGAGCCAGGCGTATGCAATTAGTGCTGGTGTCTCTCTGGAGGGGCAGCAGCTCTTCCAGACCATCCATAAGACGTAAGTGCCACTCCAGGGGTCCCCAGTGCCCACCCAGGGGTCCCCAGTGCCCACCTGGGAGTCCCCAGTACCCAGCTCTGGGTCCCCAGGCTCCTTTTTGGGGTCCCCCACAGCCTTTCTGGGGGATTGCCCTCGCTGGGTTTGCCCTGGAACGTTCTGGTGTGTCCTGGATGGGATCCTTGGGGGTGAGGGTGGCTCCCTGCCTGCTCCCTGCCCTGCCTGGCAAATCCCACCCCACCCCTGCGGTCCCACTCCTCTCCAGCTGGACCCTGGAGTGACCGGGGGGCTCTTTGCCCCCTCAGGCCCACCCCAGGGGGCAGTGGTGGCAGTCCCTGATGCCATTGTCCCTCCCCTCAGCATTAAGGACTGTAAATGGCAGGAGAAGAACATAGTTGTGATGGAAGAAGTCGTCATTGCCCCTCCATACCAGGTGGAGAACTGTAAAGGCAAAGAGGGGAGCGCCCTGAGCCACGTACGCAAAATAGTGAGTGTGGGCTGGGGACAGAGGGGGGTGGCACCTCCTGGGAGGGGGACACGTCCCTGGGGACAGCCAGGAGCCTCCTTGGCTGGGCTCCAGCCCCTCCTGGCATCCCCTTCCCTCTCCACATCCCCCTGCCACCCTTTTTGTGTCCTGTGTTCAGAACGCTGAGCAGGGGATGGGGACACTGGGAAGGACTGGGTGGGTGTCACCTCCCTGGGGACACCCAAGACCCTTCCTGGCTTGGCCTCCAGCCCCTCCTGGAGTTCTCCAGCTCTTCCTGGGGTTCCCCAGCCCCTCTTTTCTTGGTCTTCATCCCCTCCTGTGGTTCTCCAGCCCCTTCTTGCTTGGCCTCCACCCCTCCTGGGGTTCCTCAGCCCCTCCAGGGGTTCCCATCCCCTCCTGGGGCTCCCCAGCCCCTCCAGGGTTCCTTCCCTGAACCCCTCCATGCCCCCCTTCCCCTGCAGGTGGAGAAACACTTCCGGGACGTGGAAAGCCAGAAGGTCCTGCAGCGTTCACAAGCACAGCAGACACAGAAGGACACGTCCCTGTCATCCTGAGGCCACCTCGGGGCCACCACCCCGTCCCCGCGTCCCCTCCCCGGAGGCGGCGCCGGGGGCTCCTTCAACTTTTATTTCCTTTTTTTTTTTTTTTTTTTTTTTTTTTTTTTGGGGAATCTCAACCAATTCCAAACTTTAGACTTCAAAACAAATGAGAAAAGAGAATAATTTAAAGCTCCTCACGCATTACTTGACTAACAGACTTTGTTTTTCCGCCATGGTTTCTCCCTCCAGCCAGTCAGACTCTGTTAATTTTATTTTTTGGCCTTTTTTTTTTTTTCTTTCCCTTTTCCTCCCAATTCCTGCCTCCCTCTTCCCCAAAAATCCCTCCAGAAAATAAAGCTAACGAGCTGACTGTGGTGGCTGACCCGGGACCCTCGTGACCAACGTGGTCTCGTTTTAATTTTGTTTGCACAGGGCAAGGCTTGAATTAGTCTTATTTTTCTTATCTTTAAATATATATATGAATATATATTAAAATGTTCTTTAAATATTTGTCTGCTTCTAGCAGGGTCGTGGCAAAAAATCCCTCTAACACCCCCTTGGGAGCAGCCAGAACCTGGATTTGGGCTTTTCACCCCATTTCCTTTATGTTTTTAATTTTTTTTGCCCTTTTTCATTTAATTTTTAATTTCTTTTTTAATTTTAATTTTTTTTTTGCCACGATCCTCCCCCTCCCCCTTTTGTTTCCTCCCATTGTTTTTTTTGTTTGGGTTTTTTTTAATTAAAAACAAAAAGCAGATCAAACTCAAAACAATTCAAGCCCTGCCTTTAGGAAAATTAAAGATTAAAAAAAAAATTTAAAAAAAAGAAAAAAAAAAGGAAAATTTTTTAGTCTTGTTTAGCAAAAAACAATAAAAACCCGAAATTTTTTTAACCATCACCGGAGTCTGTGGGGGCTCAATGGGGCGTGGCCTCATGAGGGGCGTGGCTAAGACGAGCGGGCGTGGCTTGGGGTGGGGTTTGTTGTCCCTTTGTTATGGGGCGTGGCTTCAGCGGGAGGCGGGGCCTGGCGCCGCATATTCAATGAGGGTTTGTTTGATTGATGGGGCGCGGTTGAGGCCATGGCGGGGTTTCGGGGGGAAGGTGCGGCCCGGGGCAGGCTGGAGGCTCCGGGGCGCGGCTGTTCCAGAGCGGGGCCGCAGTTTTGGGGCAGGATCCGCCATTTGAATGGAGAGGCGCGGCCTGAGGGGAATGAGGGCGCTACAATTAAAGGGGCGTGGTTTGTAAAGAGAGGGCGTGGCTTCCCCAGGCACGGCGCTGATTGGTCCACGAGGCGGCAATTCCGGCGCGGCATTTCCGGCGGGACGGCCCGGTAATGGCGGCGGGCCGCGGGTGGAGGCGGCGGGCGCTGCGCCTGCTGACGGCGGGCGGCGGCGTCCTGCTCACCCGCTTCCCCTTCTGGCACTGCTTCAGCGGGCTCCTGCTGTGCGCCGAGCGCGCCGACCTGCGCCGGTGCGCGCCCGGGGGCGAGACGGGGCCGGGCGCCTGCGAGTGCTCCTGGGGAGCCTGGGCCTGTGAGGGGCTGCGGGCGGTTGTGAGGGCAGGGGCGGCTGTGGGGCTGGGCTGGCCGGGGTCTGTGAGAGTCTGGGGTGCTTGTGGGATCTGGAAGGTCAGAGGGGGTGTGGGGTCTCGAGGGTCTGGGGGAGTGTCCGGGGTGCAGAGGCTGCTGCGGGGCCCTGAGAGCCGGGGGAAGCCTGGGGTGTGAGGGACTGGGGTGGGTCTGGGACAGGTGCCAGGGACCTTCGGTGGGGCTGAGACAGGTGGTATTTGATGTGGGGCACGGAGCTGCTGCCTGGGGCTGAGGGGAGACCCCAGCAGCAGAGGGGGCTCGGAGGGGCTCTGTGGGGCAGGGAAGGGGACAGAGCAGCAGAGGGGGCTCGGAGGGGCTCTGTGGGGCAGGGGAGGGCTGTGGCTGCCCCATAACGTGGGGGAGGCTTTGGGGTGAGCGTGGGGGTGCCAGAGCTGCCTTCCCTGTCCCCGCAGGAAGCCGGACATCCCAGTGCCCTACCTGTACGTGGACATGGGCGTGGCCGTGCTCTGTGCCAGCTTCATGTCCTTCGGGGTCAAGCGGCGCTGGTTCGCCCTGGGGGCTGCCCTGCAGCTGGCAGTGGCCACCTACGCTGCCCATGTCGGGGGGCATGTGCACTACGGAGACTGGCTCAAGGTGAGAGCCCCACCCCTGGGTGGTACTGAGGGCAGCCCAGGTGGCACTGAGGGCAGCCCAGGTGGCACTGAGGGTGCTCTGGGTGGCACTGATGGCAGCATGGCCCCACAGGTGAGGATGTACTCGCGCACCATCGCCATCATCGGCGGGTTCCTGATCCTGGCCAGCGGGGCTGGGGAGCTGTACCGGCAGAAACCCCGCAGCCGCTCCCTGCAGTCCACGGGCCAGGTGTTCCTGGGCATCTACCTCATCTGCCAGGTACTGGGGACAGCTAGGGGACAGCCAGGGTCAGGGGATACAGGCACCGCTGTGCTGCGGGCTGGGGACACAGTTCCCTGCAGGAGAAGCCTCGGGACAGTGCTCCAGACTGTCCCTGGTGGGACCCTCAGGGACAATCCACCACCACAGATCACCTCAGGGTGGTGTCACCAGTGTCACCAAGCCCAGACCAACCCAGGGGAGAAGCCTCAGGCAGCAGATGTCCTTGGGGGATTGTCACCAGTAACACCACACTGCATTCCCTATGAACCCCAGGTTTTGGGGACCCCCTTCTGCCACCTCTCCCCATCCCAGAACTCTTGTGTGGATGTTCCACACTCCAGGTCCCTGTTGTCCCTGGGGTAGAAACCTTGCATGGCACCAGTGCCACGCCCCACTGTGAGTGTCCCTTTGTCCTCCCCTCTGCCACCTCTCCCCATCACAGAACTCTTGTACGGGTGTTCCACACTCCAGGTCCCCGTTGTCCCTGGGGTAGAAACCTTGCATGGCACTGGTGCCATCCCCCCTGCGAGTGTCCCTTTGTCCTCCCCTCTGCCACCTCTCCCCATCCCAGAACTCTTGTGTGGATGTTCCCAGTGCCACCACACTCCAGGTCCCCGTTGTCCCTGGGGTAGAAACCTTGCATGGCACCGGTGCCACGCCCCACTGTGAGTGTCCCCTTGTCCCCTGCTGTCCCCCCAGGCCTACTCCCTGCAGCACAGCACCGAGGACCGCCTGGCCTACCTGGACCATCTGCTGGGGGGCGAGCTGGCCCTGCAGCTGCTCTTCCTGCTCTACGGGCTGCTGGCCCTGGCCTTCCTCTCGGGGTACTACGTGAGGACAGCGGCCCAGGTGCTGGCCGTGCTGCTGCCCCTGGCCATCCTGCTCATCGACGGCAACCTGGGCTACTGGCACGCGCTGCGCCGCGTCGAGTTCTGGAACCAGATGAAGCTCATCGGCCAGAACGTCGGCATCTTCGGGGCCGTGGTCATCCTGGCCACCGATGGATGAGGGGCAACGGGGATAAAGGGTGGGAGGGATTTTTTTAAGGAGCGTCGCTATTTATTTGTTTATTTTTTGGGTTTTTTTTGTTTGTTTTTTTTTTTTTTGGTTTTGTTTTGTTTTGGTGGTGTTTGTAAATATTTGATAATTTTGGCAGAGGATGGGTCGGGGGGGGTCCTGCCACTGTGTGGTCAGGGTGCTTCTCCCTGCTGAGGGGTGTCACTGCTCCCCCCCCCCCAAAAAAAAAAAAAGTATTTTTACTGATGGACTGAGAAATGTTTAATGTCTCACCCCTGGGGGATCAGCTTTGGGTGCCAGGGTGAGGAGGGGAACTGCAGCTTTTGGGGTCCAAACTGCTTTTGGGGTCCTGGAATGCAATGCAGGAGTGCTTTGGGGAGCTGATGGTGAGGGAGGGGCTGCTCTGGGGGGAAACTGCTTCAGAGGAGTCACTTTGGGGGGACCTGATTGGGAGGGAAGGGCTGCTCTGGGGGAAACTGCTTCAGAGGAGTCACTTTGGGGGAAGCTGATTCAGGAGAGATGCTTTTGGGGGGGCTTGGAGGGCAGAGCTCCTTTAGGGGCTTGGGGTGGAGGGGCTGCTGCAGGGGAGCTCTTTTGGGGGACCCTCATGGGGAGCCACTTTGGGGGGGCAAATCCGGGCAGGGATGTGAGTCTGAGAGGCTTGTGGGGAGCTGCTTCAGGAGGAGCCACTCTGGGGACTTGGTGGAGGGGCTCTGGGTGTTCTGGCACGGGTGGGGGTCCTGGTGGGACCCAGGGAGGGGCTGGCAACCCCCAGGATCCCTGTGGGCTGTGGTCTCATCCTGTCCCCGAGCTGTGTGTGTGTGTCCCCACCCCTCCGGTGCAGGGCTGTGTGTCCATGTCCTCCCCTGGGCAGGGCAGGTGTCCTTGTCCCCCCCCTCCAGGTGTCCGTGTCCCCCCCTCAGGTGTCCGTGTCCCCCCCTCAGGTGTCCTTGTCCCCCTCCCAGGTGTCCGTGTCCCCCCCTCAGGTGTCCGTGTCTCCCCCCCCCAGGTGTCCCTGTCCCCCCCTCAGATGTCCGTGCCCCCCCCAGGTGTCCGTGTCCCCCCCTCCTCAGGTGTCCGTGTCCCCCCTCCCAGGTGTCCGTGTCCCCTCCCAGGTGTCCGGAAAAGCAAACAGGGCTGATAAGGGGCTTCCTCCGGGGGGCCCTAATGGCGCCTCCGGCGGAACCGGGGCCATAAAACGCGGGCAGGCGGCAGAGCCCTGTTTGCTCGGGGGGGCCGCCTCGGCTCCTCACCCCTGGCACCCCCCCGGCGGCTCCAGCCCCGCGCCTTCACCCCCAGACCCTCCTCTTCCTCCTCACTGCCCCTGGGGAGGTGGGGGCAGGCGGGGACCCCCCCCCCAGCCCTGTCCCCGCTGTGCCGGGGGGTGCAGCCCGCGCCCCCCCCACCCCCGCGGCAGAGCCATCGTGTGACCTTTGGAAAATGTCTGTTTGCTGTCACTCGGATAAATGGGGCAGAAAGCTCCGGTCCCCCCCTCCCCGGGTCCCCCCGCGGCTGCTGCTGGGGGCCACCCGCGCCCTGATCCCCCTCGGTCGGGGGACGGCTGTGACAGCGCGGTGACATTGGCGCTGCCCTGGGGTCCCCGCAGCCCCCTCCGCTCCCGTCAGCTCCGCACCAACGTGAAAGCTCCGGGGCCGGGGGGGGCTGCGGGCGCTGCTTTCCCCCCTCCCGGTGCTGCCCGAGCCCGGCGCCGCTCGGCCGGGACCCCCCGCCCGTGTCCCCGCAGCCCGCGGGTGTCACAGCGCGGCCACGCCACGGGGGACAGCCCCGCCACTGCCACCAGCCGCGTTCGGGCCGCCGCTGCCCGGGTGACAACCGGGGCAGGAGTGGGGGGCGCGTCCCCTCCGGCCGGGGCTGGCACCTCCCGTGTCCCCCCTCAGGTGTCCGTGTCCCCCTCCCCGGGCAGGGCAGGTGTTCGTGTCCCCTCTCAGGTGTCCGTGTCCCCCCCCCCCCCCCCGTGCAGGGCAGGTGTCCCCTCCGGTCGGGGCTGGCACCTCCCGTGTCCCCCCCGCCCCGGCCGATTCGTGTCGCCTCCAGCCGCGCTGGTGGCACCCCACAATGTCCCCACGGCCGTGTCCCCTCCGCCCCACTGGCCGGGGATGCGGGTGCAGCTGGGTGCGGCCATCCCGGCGGTTTTGGGGACCCCCCCTTCTGCCGCCTGTCCCCATCCCAGCACCCCGCGGTGGCTTTGGTGGCCCCTGCGCGGCGGGCACGTCCCCGCCGCGTCCCTCCGTGCCTCAGTTTCCCCCGGAGCCGGTGATTGCTCCTTAATGGTAAATCCATACGGGATTAATGTCCCCGCACGGGGGGCTGGAAAGGTCACCTCATCCGTCCTGGGGGAGGTGACAGCGCTCGATGGCGGTGGCGGGGCTGCGGTGACAGGGCTGTGGTGGCGGCTTCGTGCCTCGTCTGGGGAAACTGAGGCAGCCGTGGCTGTGGGTGTGTCTGTCCCCTCCACTGTCCCCCGTGCGTGGCTCAGGGCCGTGGGTCTTGTCCCGTGTGCCACGTTTGTGTCCCTGGGTGTGGCTGATGTCCCCGTGTCCCGCTGTCACATCCCGCGGCTGTGTCAGGGCAGGTTTGTGTGACACGGCTGCGTGTGACATCCGTGTGTGTCCTGTGTCGTCGTGCCACGGCTGCGTGTCACATCCATGTCACCGTGCCACGGCTGCCTGTCACATCTGCCACGTGCCACTTCGTGTGTCCTGGCTGCCTGTGTCACCTGTGTGTGTGCCATGGTGACATGTCACACCTGTGCCTATGTCCCGTGCCCACCTGGTATTGCCGTGTCCGTGTCCTGTGGCCACACGCGTGTCCGTGTGTCCCCGTGTCCGTGTGTCCCCCCCACTCTGTCCTCCCCATTCCCTCCGTGCCCCAGGCTGGGGACCGTGCAGGGGACAGTGACAGGGTGCTGGCACGTGTCCCCTGGCCGTGGCGGGGGGGGCCGCAGGGTCCTGCGTGCCCGTGGGTCTGTCACGCGTGAGGGAGGAGCCACCAGCCCCCCTGGGGCTATAAAAGCCCGGGCGGGTGCAGGAGCCGCCGTGTCCCCGGCACTGTCACCCCACTGCCAGGCCCTGCCTGTCACCTCTGCCTCCGCCATCGTGAGTGCAGCCACGGGCGGGGGTCCCGGGGGGGACCCCAGGAGGGACAATCAGCTGTGGGGACCCTGGGGGGGGGGTGTCCCTTTGGGGGCACGGGGGTCTCGGGGGTGCTTTGGGGTGGGACAGCTCCCTTGAGGGGGGGTCTGTGGGAGGGAGGTGTCCCCATGGGATACGGGGGGGGGGGGTCCCGGGGGTGGACCGGGGCCGGGTCCCGCGTGGGGGGTGGAACAAACCTTTGGGGAGCTGGGGGGGGGCTCTGAGGATAAATGAACGGGGTCCCGGGGTTTGGTGGGGTCAGAGCCGGTTTGGGGGTCCCGAGGGTGATGAGGGGGGCCTCCCCCGCATCCACAGCCGCCCCTGTCCCCTGTCCCCCGCAGATGGTGCCATCCCCGCGGCCGTGGCGCGCGTTGGTGGCCGTGTCCCTCTGTGTCCTGCTGTGCCTGGCGGCCGCGTACCCCCCAAAACCCGAGAGCCCCGGCGAGGACGCGTCCCCCGAGGAGATGGCTCGCTACTTCTCGGCCCTCCGCCACTACATCAACCTGGTCACGCGGCAGAGGTGAGCGCGACAGGGAGGGGGGGACACGCGCGTCCCTGTCCCCGCGGGGTCCCCTCTGCACCTCCGCGCGCGCACCCGCGGGGTCCCCGCCGCTCAGGCGCGCTCCCGTGTCCCGCAGGTACGGGAAACGCGGCAGCCCCGGCACCGAGGGGACAGAGCTGCTCCTGGGGACCGGCAGTGACCGGTCACGGTGAGTGTCCCTGTCGCTGTCCCTGCTCCTGGGGACCGGCAGTGACCGGTCACGGTGAGTGTCCCTGTCGCTGTCCCTGCTCCTGGGGACCGGCAGTGACCGGTCACACTGAGTGTCCCTGTCGCTGTCCCTGCTCCTGGGGACCGGCAGTGACCGGTCACACTGAGTGTCCCTGTCGCTGTCCCTGCTCCTGGGACAGGCAGTGACCGGTCACTCTGAGTGTCCCTGTCGCTGTCCCTGCTCCTGGGGACCGGCAGTGACCGGTCACGGTGAGTGTCCCTGTCGCTGTCCCTGCTCCAGGCAGTGACCGGTCACTGTGAGTGTCCCTGTCGCTGTCCCTGCTCCAGGCAGTGACCGGTCACGGTGAGTGTCCCTGTCGCTGTCCCTGCTCCTGGGACAGGCAGTGACCGGTCACACTGTGTGTCCCTGTCGCTGTCCCTGCTCCTGGGACAGGCAGTGACCGGTCACACTGAGTGTCCCTGTCGCTGTCCCTGCTCCTGGGGACAGGCAGTGACCGGTCACACTGAGTGTCCCTGCCGCTGTCCCCCTCCCTGTGCCCAGCGCACCCCGCGCTGGGGGTCCCGGGGCAGTTTGGGGTGCCAGGGGGTGTCGGGGGTCTCTTTTCCCCCTCTCTCTCACACCAGCTCTTCCCGCAGGTTCGATGACGACTCCTCGTGGTGACCCCGCCCCGCCCAGTTCCCCCTGCCCCCCAAATCCTCCCCATCTCTCCGGGAACCCCCAGGGGACCCAGGGCCAGCGCAGGACCCTCCGCTGGAAGGCCGGGGACCCCCAGAACCCGGCCCGGGGGTGTCCCGCTGCCGGGGGGGGGTCCCCGACACTGTCCCCTCCCCACCGCTGCCGGGGGGGGTCCCGCGTGGTCCCTGCACGGCCCCGCAGCGACAATAAAAGAGCGATCGTGGGCACGGGAGGCTCCGCGCTGTGCGTGGGGGGCGCGGGGGGGATGGAGGGGTGGGGGGAGATGGAGGGGATTCAGGGGTGGGGGGAGATGGAGGGGATGGAGGGGTGGGGGGAGATGGGGGGCATGGAGGGGTGGGGGGAGATGGGGGGCATGGAGGGGTGCAGGGGAGATGGGAGGAATGGGGGACAGGAGGTGCCGGGGTGCAGGGAGGGGGGTCAGGGGGGTGGGCAGGGATTGGGGGCTGAAAGGAGGGGAGAGGAAGGGGATGAGGGGTGGGAATTTTGGAGGAGGGAGTGCGTGGGGAAAGGTGGGAATGTGGTGAGCTGGGGTTGGACACTGGGGTGCGCTGGGTGTGGGGTAATGGGGGGCACTGCTGGGGGGATCCATCGCTGGTGAATGTGGGGGTGCAGGGGGTGCTGGGGGGGCTGGGGCACAGGGGTGGGGGCATTCCTAGGGGTGCTGCCCCTCCAATGTCCCCCCTGTCCCGCTCCCCCCCTTCCATCCACTCCTACCACACTTACACCCCACCAGCCCCCCTGGCTGTGCCCCTCTGTCCCCACACCTGTCCCTCTGTCCCTCCGTGGGGCCGGACACCCGTGCCCACGTCCTGTCCCCTCCGGGAGCCCCCTCAGAGCGGGGTCAAACATTAACCAGGGGCCAGCTGTCCCTGTCACCCCCGCCACGGCCCCTGTCCCCCCTCCCCGTCCGAGTGGGCACCTGGCGTGGCAGGGTGACATCAGCGGGGACACGGCGGGGATAAAAGGGCCAGCACGGCAGTGGCAGCAGCAGCGGCACTGAGCACCCGGCGTGTTGGCAGCGTCCCCTCGTCTCGCCGTGTCCCCGCGTCCCTGCCTGAGGAAGAAGGTGAGTGGGGACGGGGAGCTGCGGGCATGTGAAAAACGGGTGTGTGACAAACGGGTGTGTGACAAACGGGCGTGCGTGTGACACGCGTGTGCAATGGTTTGTGAAAGGGTGAAGGCGTGCAGGAGTGGGACATGGGCTGTTCACGGTGGGGAGTGTGCAGGTGTACAGAGGTGTGTGTGTGCTGTGCATGCAGGTGTGTGCAGTTGTGTTCAGGTGTGCACAGGTGTGTGCATGCTCTGCGTGCTGTGTTCAGGTGTGTGCAGGTATGTTCAGCTGTGCTCAGCTGTGTGCGTGTCCCCCTTCCCCCGTGGTGTGACCCCGCTGTCGCTGTCACAGCCATGGCCCCGCCGCTGCTGTTGGTGGCGTGCGCGGTGGTGGCGCTGCTGCCGCTGCGGCCCCGCGCGGCCCCGGCCCAGCCCGCGTACCCCGGGGACGACGCGCCCGTGGAGGAGCTGCTGCGCTTCTACAACGACCTGCAGCAGTACCTGAACGTCGTCACGCGCCCGCGGTGAGCAGGGCCCAGCTGCCCGTCCTGATGTGCTCCCTGTCATGACATGCCCCCTATCGCGACATGCTCCCTGTCGCGACATACTCCCTATTGCGATGTGCTCCCCATCGCGACACATCCCCTATCATGACCTGCTCCCCGTCACGACACACCCCCTATCGCAATGTGCTCCCCATCATGACACACCCCCTATCGTGATGTGCTCCCTGTCCCGACACATCCCCTATCGCGATGTGCTCCTCATCCCAACGTGCTCCCAACATGGCGTGCTTCCCTGTCGCGACACCATCCCCACCTCAATGTGCTCCCTGTCGCGACACACCCCCTATCGCGACGTGCTCTCCATCACGACACTCTCCCTACCATGACGTGCTCCCCATCCCAGCATGCTCCCACCACAGTGTGCTTCCCTGTCGTGACACCATCCCCATCTCAATGTACTCCCTGTCATGACACACTCCCTGTCAGGACACACTCCCTGTTGGGACACGCTCCCTGTCAGGACACGCTCCCTGTTGTGACGCGCTCCCTGTCAGGACATGCTCCCCGTCACTCCCTGCTCCCTGTCGTGCCCCTCTCCCTGTCGGGATTTATCGATTCAGGGCAGCCCCAGCACGGTCAATGATGTGCTCTGACTCTGTGATTTCAGAGGGCTGAGCAAACACTTTATTAAGCTGGGTTATATCACACTAATACTATATCTAGGTTATATTACACTAAAACTGTACTAAAGAGATACTCTACTCAAGAGATACTAGCAGACACAGTTTGACCCAACTGGCCAATCAATCCAAACAATCAGCAGAAACCAATTAACAAACCATTCTCATTAAACGATCTCCGTAACACGTTCCGCATGTGCCGCACCTGCCGGAGCAGCAAGTGAGATAGGAACTGTTTCCTCCTTTGAGCTTCTCCCTGCCTTCCCCAGGAGAAATCCTGGGAGAGAGAATGATGTCTCTGTCAGTCCAGAGAATGTGAAAGCCACAGGGACACGCTCCCCATGGTCTGTCACTGTCACCCGGTGCCACTGTCCCCTGATGTGTCCCCGTTGCAGGTACGGCAAGCGGGCAGGCGGGCGAGCACTGGGCCAGGAGCCCCTGGAGCCCCGGGCTGCTGAGCCCCAGGTGAGGGGCTGGGGGGCGGGAGGAGCCCCCCAAAACTCCCCATGGCTCCCCCCGGCTCAGGGTCCCCCACAGGGACAGCCTGGGGGACAGGGGAGGGGCTCTGGGTGGGGGAATTCAGGGGGAGACCCTCAGAGTGTCAGGGTGGGGGATATGGGATCAGGGGGACCATCAGGTGGGAAATGTGGGACTGGGGGGACCCTCAGGGTGTCAGGGTGGGGGACGTGGGACTGGGGGGTCTCCGGGGGGGCCCTGAGGGTGTCAGGGTGGGGGATGTGGGATCAGGGGGGGCCCTGAGGGTTGCAGGGTGGGGGATATGGGATTGGGAAGTCTCAGTGGGGAGGGGGACACGGCGTGACCCTCCTGTTTTGTTTCAGGAACGCTGCCGGGGCTGAATGGGTGAAGAAGCCCAGGGGGTGCAGCCCCTCAGCCCCTGCTGCACCCCCGGACCCCCCCAGAGCCAGCACCACGGGGCTGGGACAGACCCCCAGCAATAAAAACCCCCCTGCAGCCACCGCCTGTCTGCCTCTGCCTGCTGGGGACACTGGGGACCTGGGGACACTGGCCGGGGGAATGGGAAGTACTGGGGACACTGGGGGTGTTATAGACACAGAGTGTGGGGGGACCGTGGGGATGCTGGGACAGAGGCGGTGATGGTGGCTCTGGGACACGGGACACTGGGGACACTGAGGCACTGAGGGTGTCAGGACACTGAGTGGCTGTGCTGGGGATGCTGTGACTGGGGACCACTGGGGACACCGAGTGGCCGTGCTGGGGACACTGGGGGGGTGCTGGCATTGTGGGCACGCCTGCGCGGCCGTGCCTGTCGCTGTCCCCGTCGCTGTCCCCGTGCGCTCGGTGCCAGTCGCGCGTGTCCCGCGATGCCGGCGGCCGCCCCCGCCTCGGTCACGGGTGAGCGCGCGCGCCGGGCGGGGCTTGCCACGCGCGCGCGCTAGCGGGCACGCGCGCGTGCAAACACACCCCCCCCCGTGCACGCGCGCGGGGGAGAGGGTCGTGGTAGGGGGGAGGGGGAGGGGGAGCGCAGGGTGCGTGTGCGCGCCTCGGGCACGAGCGTGTGCAAGGTGTGTGCGTGTGTTGTGGTGGGGCGGGGGGGGGGGTCGCTCCTGCGGGGCTGGGCTGTTGGGTGCGCGTTCCCGTTCGCGTGCGGGAGCGCGCGCGTTGCACGCGGCCCCTTAAATCCGCGCTCCCTCCCCCCCCTCCCACCGCCCCCTTAAAGGGGCCGAGCCCCCGCCGTCCCCCTCCCCACGCCGCTGGGGGGGGGGGTCCCACCCGCGAGCGGGGGTGGGTGTGCAAGCACGGGCGTGCAAGCGCGGGGTGAGCGGGCACGGGCACAGGGCGTGGGGGGCCGCGGGGAGCGCGCCCGTGGGTTTGCACGCGAGCGGGAGCGCGCGTGGGGAGGCGCGGGGGCGCGCGAGTGCGGGGGCGCGCGTGTCGGCGGGAGCGCGCTCACACGCGTGTGCGCCGTGCGTGTGCGCGGCGGTGTTGGGGTAGGGTGGGGTGGGAGGGGGGGGGCGTGCGTGGGGTGCGCACACGCGCGTGAGCGCGCTCAGGCGGTTTGCACGCGTGGACGCTCGCGTGCGTGTGCACACGCGGGGGGATGCGCGTGCACGAGCCGTGCCCGCGCGTGTGAGCTCACGGCCGCTTCCAACCCCCCTTCCATCCCCCCCCCACCCTTTTCCCCTCCCTCCCCGCCGCCGCGCGTGCAAAGCGGCCGGAGCGCGCCCGGTGCACGCGCGTGTGCAAGGCGGGGGGCGCGCGGGCCCGGCGCGGGTGGGGGCCCCACGCGGGGCCCGGGGGGGGTGCGGGGGGGGGGCGGCGGTACCCGGATCTGGGGCGGGGGAGCCCGGCCCCGCAGCCATGAACCGCCCCGGCCCCGGGTCCCCGCCGCCCGCCCGCGCCCCCCCGGCTCCCCCAGGTACGGGGGGCTTGGAGGGGGCCGGGGGCGCTGCTGCCCCGCGGGGGGGTCCGAGCGCTCGGGGGGCGGCGCGGGGTGCGGATGCTGTGGGGGATGAGACAGGTGGGGGGAGATGGGGATGGGGGTTCGGGTGATGCTGTGACCCCACCTCGATGGGGGGGGGGGGCTGATGGATGCCCCCCCCTCCCCTTCCGCGCCCCCCCGGCTGCATCGCCATCGGCCCCCGCCATTGCAGCGCAGCCGCGCAGCCGCTCCCGCCCCCGCGGCCCCGGATGCGGCCCCCCCTCAATTGCATCGCCCCCCCCCCCCCCCACCATCTCATCGCACCCCCATTGCACCCCTCCCCCTTCCATTGCCCCCCCTTGCAGCCCCCCGCCCCCCCCCTTACATCGTGCTCCGCGGGGTTTTGACTGCACGGCCACAATTTGGGGGGGGTCCATCCCCTTGTCCCTCCGGCTGAACGAGGAGGGGACATTTCCGCACTGCCAGCGGACCCCGACACTGGTCCCCGTAACGGGGGGGTGCCTGTGACAGGAATGGGGGGACACGAGCACCCCCCATGCACTTTCACCCACGGCGCTGCTCCTCCCCCCGCTCCGTGTCCCCCCCACCATGTCCACCGTGTGTGTGTCTGTCCCTCTGTGTCCCCTCCTCCGCGTCCCTCTGTGTCCCCCCAGCCATGCAGCAGGTCCTGGACAACCTGATGGGGCTCCCGGGGAGCCCGGGGGGTGGCGGACCTCGACCTCATCTTCCTCCGCGGCATCATGGAGAGCCCCATCGTGCGCTCCCTGGCCAAGGTACGGCGGCGCGGGGGGCGCGGGGGGCGCGGATCCCCCCCCGGCACCCCCGGGACGTGCGGGAGTCCCCCCCGTGTGCGTGTGCTTCTGTGTGGGTCTGTGTGTCCCCTATTCCCTGTACACAGGGGTCCCTAATCCCCCTCAGCATCCCCAGATCCCCAATTCCCCTTGGCCTTTGGGGTCCCTAGTCATCCTCAGCACCCCCAGATCCCCAATTCCCTCTGTCCCTGGGGGTCCCTAATCCCCCTCAGCATCCCCAGATCCCCAATTCCCTGCACCCAGGGATCCCTAATCCCCCCAGATCCCCAATTCCCCTTGGCCCTGGGGGTCCCTAACAGCTCTGCTGTCCCTACCCCCTGAGCCCCCGGCTCCAGAATCCCCTCGGCCCCTCCGAGTGCCCCTGATCCCCCCCGAGGTCCCTGGGGACACCCTGTCCCACCGGCGGGGTCCCCTCAACAGCTGGAGATCCCCAATCCCCTCGGGGGTCCCGAACCCCCCCGGCTCTCGGGGCTCTCGGCCCTCACCCGCCCGTCCCCGGGGGTGTCCCCGCTGTCCCCAGGCTCACGAGCGGCTGGAGGAGCGCAAGCTGGAGGCGGTGCGCGGGGACAACCTGGCGCTGGTGCAGGAGATCCTACGGGACATCGGGCGCCTGGCGCGGCCCGAGGCGCAGGGAGCGGCGGCGGAGCTGGCCCGGATCCTGCGGGAGCCGCACTTCCAGGTGCGTGCGACACCCGGGGACCCTCTGTCCCGCGCCACGAGGCGTGTGCCACACGCGTGGGACACAGGGGCTGACACCCCCGCGTGTCCCAGTCGCTGCTGGAGACCCACGACTCGGTGGCTGCCAAGAGCTACGATCCCCCCCCGAGCAGCCCCGGCCCCGAGGCCTCGCTGGGGTCGCAGCCGGTGCCCCCCCGACGCCGTGCGCATGGTGGGCATCCGCAAGGCAGCCGGGGGAGAACCTGGTGAGCCCGGCCGGGGGGCACCTTGGGGGGCAGGGGGTGCCGCAGGGGCCTCGGGAGGGGATGGTGGGGTGTTTTAGGGTGCTGGGAGTGTTGGGGTGATGGGGACATTGGCAGCATTATGGGGTACTGTGGGCGTTGTGGGGTGATGGGGGCGTTTTGGGGTGCCGCGGGCATTGCGAGGCGCCGGGTGGATTTTTTTAGGGTGACTGGGAGCATTTTGGGGTGCTGGATGGGGAGAGTGTTGGGGCGTTGCAGGGGGTTGAGGGCATCGGTAGAATTATGGGGCGCTGGGGTGTTTTAGGGTGCTGTGGGCATCGCGAGGCTTTTTAGGGCGGCTGGGAGCATTTTGGGGTGCTGGGGCCGTGGCGGGGTGTCCGCTGGGTGCCGGGCGGGTGTCACGGGTGTGTCACGGGTGTGTCACGGGTGTGTCACGGGTGTGTCCCCAGGCGCGGGGGCTGAGCGGGGCTGTCCCCTCAGGGGGTGACGTTCCGGGTGGAGCGGGGGGAGCTGGTGATCGCCCGCATCCTGCACGGGGGGATGGTGGCGCAGCAGGGGCTGCTGCACGTGGGGGACGTGATCCGCGAGGTGAACGGGCGCGAGGTGGGCAGCGACCCGCGGGCGCTGCAGGACAGCCTGCGCCACGCCAGCGGCAGCGTCGTGCTCAAGATCCTGCCCAGCTACCAGGAGCCACACCCGCCCCGCCAGGTACCGCCCTGCGTCCCACCTGCATCCCGCCTTCATCCCACCCGCATCCCACCCGCATCCCGCCTTCATCCCACCTCTATCCGCCCTGCATCCCACCCGCATCTCACCTGTATCCCACCTCTATCCGCCCTGCATCCCACCCGCATCTCGCCTTCATCCCACCTGTATCCCGCCCGCATCCCACCCGCATCTCACCTGCATCTCACCTGTGTCCCGCCTACATCCCGCCTACATCCTGCCCCACATCTCATCTGCATCCCGCCCCGCATCCCACCTGTATCTGCCCCGCATCCCACCCGCATCCTACCCGTATCCCACCTGTATCCCGCCTACATCCCGCCTACATCCCGCCCCACATCTCATCTGCATCCCACCTGTATCTGCCCCGCATCCCGCCTGCATCCCCCCCCGCATCTCGCCTGCATCCACCCCGCATCCCGCCCCACATCCCGCCTGTATCCGCCCTGCATCCCACCCCTCATCTCACCTGTATCCCGCCTGCACCCCACCCCACATCTCTCCCCACATCCCACCTGTATCCCTCACCCACCACCCCACCCACAGCTCCCCCTGCTCTCTGTTCCCATCCTCTCTTGTCCCCCTGTCCGTGCCCCTGTGCTGGAGGGACCCCCCGTGTCCCCCCCCGTGTCCCCCCGTGCCCCCTCTGCGGGCTCCGGTGGTCCCTGCCCTGTCCCTGTCCCAGCACAGGACCCGGGTGGCAAAGGGTGCCCTGTGCTGCCCCTCCCCGCCCCGTGCCAGCCACCCCCGTCTCCGAGGGACAAAGCAGCGCTGTCCCCGCGCTGTCCCCACGCGGGCTGTCCCCGTGTCCCCGCGCTGTCCCCACGCTGTGCCCGCGCTGTGCCCGCGCTGTCCCGCTGCCCCACGGCCGCGTGTCCCCGCACGTCCCCATGTGCGCCATCGCGGGCGCGGCGCTGGCGGCGCTGGGGACCCTGCTGTGCCTGTCGCTGGCGCTGGGGCTGTGCCTGGGGGTGGCCGTGGTGCTCGCGTGGGGCGCGGCGGCGGCGGCCGGAGCCCTGTGCGTGTGCGCGGGGGCCGTGCGGGCCTGGCTGCGGCGGGCACGGGGGGCACGGCCCGGCGTGGGCGGCTCCGGCGGGGCACACGCGCGTGGCTGAGCGTGACACGGGCGCGGAGGGTCCCCTTCCCCCCCGCGCTGATGCCCCTGTCCCCAGGTGTTTGTCAAGTGTCACTTCGACTACGACCCGGCCACCGACAGCCTCATCCCCTGCAAGGAGGCCGGGCTCAAGTTCATGGCCGGGGACCTGCTGCAGATCGTCAACCAGGATGACCCCAACTGGTGGCAGGTCAGGGGGGCCCTGCAGGGGTGGCCTGGGGGGTGTGGTGGCACTTGGACCCCATCCTGGGCCATGGAGGGTGAGGGGGTTCTGGGGGTCCCTGCGGGCTTGGGGTGTACCTGGGAGAATTCCTGTAAACTGGAGGGGTCCCTGGAGCTCGGGGGGTGTCCTTGGAGCTGGGGGGGTACTGGGGGATTGGGGGGATCCCTGGAGCAGGGAAGGGAGGGTTCCTGTGTCGACTGGGAGGGGATTCCCTGGAGCTCGGGACCCGTGTCCCTATCGGGATTTGGGGCTGAGGAGAATCCCTGGAAATGGGGAGGGTCCTTGTGGAACTTGGGGGGGGGGGGGGTCTCCGTGGGGCTGGGGGGTCCCCATGCGTGGCTCCGTGTCCCCAGGCGTGCCACGTGGAGGGCGGCAGCGCGGGGCTGGTGCCCAGCCAGCTGCTGGAGGAGAAGCGCAAGGCTTTCGTCAAGCGGGACGGGGAGGTGGCGCCCTCGGCAGGTACGGGGACAGCGGCCTGGCCGCGGCTTGGCGGGGCGGGGATGGAAGGGCCACCTCCCGAGGGGGAGCACGGCGGGTCCCCTGCGCCCTGTGACAATGTCCCCGTCGCCACAGGCCCTGTCCCCATGGCACTGTCCCTGCGCAAGGTCCCAGCTCCCGTGCCGCTTGTCCCCGTGCCAGGGTGCTGTCCCCGTCCCTGTCCCCGTCCCTGTCCCCAGCTCAGCCATCCCCTTGCCCTGGCAGGGGCCCTGTGTGGCAGCCTCAGCGGGAAGAGGAAGAAGAGGATGATGTACCTGACGACGAAGAACGCCGGTGCGTGTCCCAGGGCGCTCCCCGGGGGCAGCGGTGGTGGCACCCGCTGGGACAGGGTGCCCTGGGGTCCCCAGGACGGGTGCCAGCCCTGTCCCTCGCCCAGAGTTCGACCGGCACGAGCTGCTGATCTACGAGGAGGTGGCGCGGATGCCGCCGTTCCGCCGGAAAACGCTGGTGCTGATCGGGGCTCAGGGCGTGGGGCGCCGCAGCCTCAAGAACAAACTGATCATGTCTGACCAGGCGCGCTACGGCACCACCATCCCCTGTGAGTGGCCCTGTCCCCCGGCGCCACCCCTGTCCCCTGCAATCGTCATCATCCCCGTCCCCTGGCACCACCCCTGTCCCTGGGGAGTCCTGTGCTCCATCATCGTCCCTGTCCTCTGTGCTCGTGCCTATCCCCGGAGCGTCACTGTCCCCAGAGCGCCCCTGTCCCCTGTCACCACCCCTGTGCCCCATCATTGTCCCTGTCCCCTCTGCTCGTCCCTGTCCTGGAGCATTGCTGTCCCCTGTCACCACCCCTGTGCTCCATCATTGTCCCTGTCCCCTCTGCTCGTCCCTGTCCGTGCCAGCGTCCCTGTCGCTGCCAGCATCCCTGCCCCTGCCATCCTTGTCCCTGCCAGCATTCCTGTCCCCTGTGCTCATCCCTGTCCCCTGCCAGCAACCCTGTCCATGCCAGGGTCCCTGTCCCTTGTGCTCATTCCTGTCCCTGTGCTCATCCCTGTCCCCTGTGCTCATCCCTGTCCGTGTCAGGGTCCCTGTCCCCTGTGCTCATCCCTGTCCCCTGTGCTCATCCTTGTCCGTGCCAGGGTCCCTGTCCCCTGTGTTCATCCCCGTCCCCTGTGCTCATCCCTGTCTGTGCCAGGGTCCCTGTCCCCTGCGTTCATCCCCGTCCCCCTGTGTTCATCCCCGTCCCCTGTGCTCATCCCTGTCCCCGCTCCGCTGCCACCCCTGTCCCTGTCACCATCCCCACCCGCATCCGCGTCCCGGTGGCGGTTCCCGGACGGGACCCCGGGGCGGGCGGTGTCACCGCGGTCCCCTCCCGGCAGACACGTCCCGGAAGCCGAAGGAGAGCGAGCGGGACGGGCAGGGCTATCGCTTCGTGTCGCGGGGCGAGATGGAGGCGGACATCAAGGCGGGCCGGTACCTGGAGCACGGCGAGTACGAGGGGAACCTCTACGGCACCAGGATCGACTCCATCCGCGCCGTGGTGGAGGCGGGCAAGATGTGCATCCTGGACGTGAACCCGCAGGTGGGGGACACGGCCAGGGGACGGCGACAGCCACAGCCGGGCCCCCCGGGCGCGGGGCTGAGCGCTGTCCCCACGGCCAGGCCGTGAAGGTGCTGAGGACGGCGGAGTTCGTGCCCTACGTGGTGTTCATCGAGGCGCCCGGGCCCGAGAGGCTGCGAGCCATGAACAGGGCGGCGCTGGAGAGCGGCGTGGCCACCAAACAGCTCACGGTGAGGGGAAACTGAGGCAGCTCTGGGGGCCGGGAGGAGGGCACCAAACAGCTCACAGTGAGGGGAAACTGAGGCAGCTCTGGGGGCCGGGAGGAGGGCACCACACAGCTCACGGTGAGGGGAAACTGAGGCAGGTTTGGGGGGCAGGAGGGCCGGGAGGAGGGCACCACACAGCTCACGGTGAGGGGAAACTGAGGCAGGTTTGGGGGGCAGGAGGAGGACACACAGGTCTCAGTGGGTGTCCCCCATGATCCCAGAGACTGGTGGGGAAACTGAGGCAGGTTTTGGGGGCAGGAGGGCGCACAGCTCACAATGGGATTTCCTCACCATCCTGCGGGGTGATGGGGAAACTGAGGCAGCTCTGGGGGGCGGGAGGAGGACACAGTGGATGTCCCCCACCGTCCCTGGGGGTGATGGGGAAACTGAGGCAGGTTTTGGGGGGCAGGAGGGCACACAGCCCTTGATGGGATTTCCCCACCATCCTGCGGGGTGATGGGGAAACTGAGGCAGGTTTTGGGGGGCAGGAGGCAGACGCCCAGCGCACGGTGGAGGAGAGCAGCCGCATCCAGCGTGGTTATGGGCACTACTTCGACCTGAGCCTGACCAACGATGACCTGGAGCGCACCTTTGGGCGCCTGCGGGAGGCCATGGAGCACCTGCGCGTGCAGCCCCAGTGGGGTCCCCCGTCACCTGGGTCTATTAGGGACCCCCGAACCCCCCCTCAGCCCCCCAACCCACCCGGGGCTGTGTCCCATGATGAGCTCGCAGGGGGTGGGGGGGCTCTCTGCAGACCCCCCCCAGGCCCAGCCCGACCCTGTGTCCCCCCCCAAATCTGGGGTGGGGCAGCCGTGGGGTCCATGGGGGGCTCAGCCCCCCCACAGCTGAGTCACTGCCAGGACCTGGGGCCGCCCCCCGGGTTGGGGATGGGGGGTGTGGGGTTTGGGGGGGGTGCGGGGTTTGGGGAGTCCCCCTCCTTGTCCCCCAGGCCACAAAACCCCCCTCGGGGACCCCACCTTACCAGGGTGGGGGTCCCTCACTGTCCCTCGTGTCCCCTGTCACCCCTTCCCAGGTAGCAATAACCCCGCGCGCTGTAATTAACCCTGAACTAACCCTTAACCGACCTTGTAATTAACCCTGTAATTAACCCAGTGGGGGGCTGTGGCTGGGGACTCGCTGCGGAGGGCCTGGGGTGGTGACACGGGGTGTCCCCAAGGGACAGGGACACGGGGGGTGCGGGCTGTGCCCCCGTGTCCCTCCTGCCCCGTGTCCCCCCCGCTCCCTGCCGCCGTTTCCTCCTTTTTGGTACTTTGCTGTCAATTTTATTAAAGGAGACAAAAATGGGTTTGGCCCTTGTGGTGAACGTGAGGGGGGGTTGGGGGCTGGCGCCACGCGTGGTCACCCGTGCCACCCGTGCCACCCGTGCCACCCTTGTCACCCGTGTCACCGCTGCCGCCTCGCCCCCAGCCCTGTCCCACGTGGCGCTGATGTTTTTTTTATCTGTAAATCACCATTTCCCACCAGTCTGGGGGCTGGGGGGGGCGCGGTGAGTGTGTCACACGCGTGTCGCCTTGCACACGCACGGGGCCCTTCCTTGGTGCTGCCGGGAGGGGTCAGCAGAGCTGCAGGCACCGGGGGGGGGGGGCCGGTGGGCGTGCAAGGAGTTTGCAGGGGCTGTGGGTGTGCGGAGAGGGTTTGGCTCCCTTGCACAAGCGTGGGTGTGCCCCGTGTTCGTGCCTGCAGCGCCCTGGGGTCACCTCGTGCACACGCGTGGGCACCTCCTAGGGGCTGCCATGGGGTGCCATGGGGTGCCATAGCTTTGGGGTTGTCACAGGGTGTCACAGGGTGCCATGGGGTGCCATAGCTTTGAGGTGTCACAGGGTGTCACAGGGTCCCAGAGGGTGCCATGGTCAGGGGTGCCCTGTCCGTGGGTGTTGTGCCCATGGGGTGTCCTGTCCATGTCAGTGCCCTGTTCGTGGGTGCTGTGCCCTGTCCGGTGGGGTGTCCTGTCCATGGGTGCTGTGCCCTGTCCGTGGGTGCTGTGCCCTGTCCGTGGGTGCTGTGCCCTGTCCCTGCAGTGCCCTGTCCGTGGGTGTCCTGTCCGTGGGTGCTGTTGCCCTGTCCCTGCTGAGCCCTGTCCATGGGTGCTGTGCCCTGTCCATGGGTGCTGTGCCCTGTCCGTGGGTGCTGTGCCCTGTCCCTGCTGTGCCCTGTCCATGGGTGCTGTGCCCTGTCCCTGCTGAGCCCTGTCCGTGGGTGCTGTGCCCTGTCCGTGGGTGCTGTGCCCTGTCCGTGGGTGTCCTGTCCCTGCCGTGCCCTGGCCAGGAGCTCTGTGTCTTTAAGCAGCGCTGTCCCTAAAGCCGCTCTATTGGCCCAGCCCATAATCCCGTGTCCCTGAGCTGCCGTTCCTGTGAGGGCTGGGGCTGCACGCTCCGGGCTGGGGCTGTATCCGTGTCTGTTCTGTGTCTGTTGCCTGTCCCCTGCCGTGTCTGTGAGTGTCTCTGAGTGTTCCTGAGTGTCCCTGCCGTGTCCATTACACAGCCACACGCAGTGACAGCCATGTGGCCCGTGCTGCTGCTGCTGCTGCTGCTGCCGGTGGCCCCTGGCCATGCTGGCCCTGCCCGGGTGGCCCATCGGCTGCTGGCCCCGTCCGGCAACCCCTTCTCAGGGCCACCCCCTGGAGCCACCACGGCCCCTGGTGACCGACCAGCGCGCCCGGGACAGGGTCCTGAAGCAGGGTGAGTGGTGTCCGTGTGTCCCTGTGTCCGTGTGTCTGTGAGTCCGTGTGTCCCGTGCAGAGTTCAGTGTCCCCTGTTGGTCACTGTCACCCCTGTCTGTGTGTGTGTGCAGGGTTCAGTGTCCCCTGTTGGTCCCTGTCACCCCTCTGTGTGTGTGCAGAGCTCAGTGTCCCCTGTTGGTCACTGTCACCCTTGTGTGTGTGCAGGGTTCAATGTCCCCTGTTGGTCCCTGTCACCCCTCTGTGTGTGTGCAGAGCTCAGTGTCCCCTGTTGGTCACTGTCACCCTTGTGTGTGTGCAGGGTTCAATGTCCCCTGTTGGTCCCTGTCACCGCTGTGTGTGTGTGCAGGGTTCAGTGTCCCCTGTTGGTCACTGTCACCGCTGTGTGTGTGTGCAGGGTTCAATGTCCCCTGTTGGTCACTGTCACCGCTGTGTGTGTGTGTGCAGGGTTCAATGTCCCCCTGTTGGTCACTGTCACCGCTGTGTGTGTGTGTGCAGAGCTCAGTGTCCCCTGTTGGTCACTGTCACCCCCGTGTGTGTGTGCAGGGTTCAGTGCCCGGCGTGTGCCAGACCCTCTGGACGCTGTGGTCATTGGCAGTGGCGTGGGGGGCCTGGCGGTGGCCGCCACCCTGGCCAAGGCGGGCAGGAGGGTTCTGGTGCTGGAGCAGCACGACCAGGCCGGGGGGTGCTGCCACACCTTCCAGCAGCACGGCGTGGAGTTCGACGTCGGTGAGGACCCCCCTGCCACCCCCTGTCACCCCCTGTCACCCCCTGTCACCTCCTGTCACCCCCATCACCTTCCATCACCCCCTGTCATCCCCTGTCCCTGCAGCTCCACTGTGAACCTGCTGCCAGCCCCAGTGTGTGCCGTGTCCCTGCCATGTCCCTGCCATGTCCCTGCCATGTCCCTGCCATGCCCATGCTGTGTCCCTGCTATGTCCCTGCCTTGTCCCTGCCCTGTCCCTTCTGTGTCCCTGCCCTGTCCCCGCCATGTCCCTGCCCTGTCCCTGCTCTATCCCTGCCATGTCCATGCCCTGCCCTGTCCCTTCTGTGTCCCTGCCCTGTCCCTGCCATGTCCCTGCCCTGTCCCTGCTCTATCCCTGCCATGTCCTTGCCCTGCCCTGTCCCTTTTGTGTCCCTTCTGTGTCCCTGCCCTGCCCAGATCCCACCCCAGCCCCTCAGTGCCACACCAAAGCCAACCCTGCCCTCCAGTGCCGCTCCCTCTGCGTGTCCACGTGCTGTCCCCTCTGTCCCCCAGCGTGTCCCCTGTCCCCACACCTCAGGCATCCACTACGTGGGGCAACTGCACGAGGGGAGCCTCCTGCGGGTGGCCCTGGACCAGGTGACAGACGGGCAGCTCTGCTGGCACCGCCTGCCCGACCCCTACGACGAGGTGACCCTGGGGGCCCGGCGCTACCTGCTGCGCTCGGGCAAGGTGGCCTTTGTCACCGCGCTGGAGGAGCAGTTCCCCGATGAGAAGGAGGCCATCAGGGAGTTCATGAAGCTCTCCAAGGTGTGCCCGGGGGTCACCTCCCCACGTCCCCAAGGAGGGGCCGGCTTGGGGTGGTGGCACCAGTGGGGACATGGTGGGAAAGGGGCTGTGGGGACACAAGTGACAATGGTGGTGGGGACATGGGTGATGGGTGTGGTGGGAATGGTGGGGACAAAAGCAGCAGCCACAGAGGGGACACGGGTGATGAGCATGGTGGGGACAAGTTCTGGTGATAATGAGCACATGGATGTTGGGGGACAGCTGCTGGGCCACGGGTGGCCCTGGGGCCACAGCAGTGACAGTCCTGAGGACGCGGTGGTGGCCGGGCAGGGCAGTGCTGCTGGTGTCACGCAGGTGGCCGCACTCAGCTGTGGGCGGTGGTGGTGGCACTGTGGCTGTCCCCACACTGTGGTGGCACGGTGGCTGTCCCGCAGGTGGCCTCGCGGCACGCGGCGCTGCTGGCCCTGCTGAAGCTGTCCCCACGCTGGCTCGTCACGGTCCTGCTGCGCTCGGGGCTCCTGCCCCGCCTGTCCCCCGTGTTCCGCATGGCTGCCACCAGCCACAGCCAGGCCGCCGCCCGCCTCACCTCCAACCCTGACCTGCGCGCCCTCTTCGGATACCTCTTCTACGGTCAGGGGCCGTCGCGACAGGGAGGGGCTGTCGCGACAGGGAGGGCGCCAGGTGGAGGAGGAGGGCGGTACTGCAGTGGCGGGGATTGTGTCACGACAGGGGGTGGCACCATCACGATATGGGCAGTGCTGTGTTGGGATGGGGGCGGCGGGAAGAGCAGTGTCGCGATACAGGAGGGCCAAGTGACACTGCGGGAGGGCCGTGTCGTGATAGTGGGAGGATGTGTCATGGTATGGGATGGCACCGTGGTGCCAGGGGAGGGCCGTGTCGCAATAAGGGAGGGCGATATCGCGGCGAGGAGCGCCTTGTCGCGACACGGGAGGGCCGTCGTGCCCTGTGGCGGGGTCCAGCCGTGCCCCTGTCCCCTGTGTCACCGCAGGCACGGCCCCACGGGACTCGAGCTTCATGGTGAACGCGCTGATGGTTCACCACTACCAGCGCGGGGCCTGGTACCCACGGGGGGGCGCCAGCGAGGTCGCCTTCCACGCCGTGCCCGTCATCGAGCGCGCGGGGGGGGCCGTGCTCGTGCGCGCCCCCGTCACGCGCGTCCTCGTCAGCGCCGACGGCACCGCCCTGGGTGAGCGCCGGGACCCCCCGAGGGACGGGGATGCGGTGGTGGCGCCCCACGAGGGATGGGGACACGGTGGTGGCGCCCCACGAGGGATGGGGACGCGGTGGTGGCGCCCCACGAGGGATGGGGACACGGTGGTGGCACCCCACAAGGGACGGGGAGGCGGTGGTGATGCCCCACGAGGGACGGGGACGCGGTGGTGGCGCCCCCCGAGGGACGGCAAGGTGGTGGTGGCGCCCCACGAGGGACAGGGACGCGGTGGTGGCGCCCCACGAGGGATGGGGAGGTGGTGGTGGCGCCCCACGAGGGACGGGGAGGCGGTGGTGGCGCCCCACGTGTCCCCTGACCCCGCCGCGGTCCCCAGGGGTGGCGGTGCGGACGGGACCAGGTGAGGAGGAGCTGGAGATCCGCGCCCCCTTGGTCATCTCCGATGCCGGGGTCTTCAACACCTTCGGGAAGCTGCTGCCGCCCCACGTCCGCAGCCACCCCGGTAATGTGGCGCTCGTGTCCCCGCTCGCGTCCTCAGTGTCACCAGCATCCCCGGTGTCCCCAGCATGCCCAGATCTCATCGTTCCTGGCACCCCCGTGTTCCTGCTTGGGCAGGGTCAGGTGCCACCTCCGTGTCCCTGCTCAGGTGCCACCCCCATGTCCCCTACACACGCAGGCTCAGGTGCCAGCCCCATGTCCCTGCCCAGGCTCAGGTGCCACCCCCAGGGTCAGATGCCACCCCCGTGTCCCTGCCCATGCAGGGTCAGGTGCCACCGCCATGTCCCTGCCCAGGCTCAGGTGCCACCGTCAGGTCCCTGCCCGGGCTCAGGTGCCACCCCCGTGTCCCTGCCCGGGCTCAGGTGCCACCCCGATGTCCCCGCAGGTGTGCGCTCCCTCCTGGCCATGCTGCGGCCGGGCATGGGCTCCTTCCTGGTGTTCGTGGGGCTGCGGGGCAGCGCGGCTGAGCTGCGCCTGCCCCCCACCAACTTCTGGATCTACCCCCACAACGACCTGGATGCCATGTGAGGGGTCCGGCACCGCGAGGGGGTGGGCACGGGGGGCACCATGGGGGGCACGGGGACATCCCAGCCCTGTGTTCCCGCAGGATGACCCGGTACGCCGCCCTGAGCCGCGACGAGGTCCCCGAGAACCTGGCCATGATGTTCATCACCTTCCCCGCCGCCAAGGACCCCACGTATGAGCAGCGGCACCCAGGTACCCTCGGGGTGGGGCTCCGCGACCCCCCAGCTCCCCTCGGCGGGCTCGGAGGCTCCTCAATCCCCTTGGCACGGGGTGGGCGCCGCCGCCGCCCGCTCGCCGGGGGATGTCACCGGCTGTCCCCGCCCCGCAGGCAGGTCCTGCATGAC